CAATCTCTGTTAACGTAAATTGTATGTTTCTAGGGACAGATTATTGGGAGATAACAGAAAGCTTGTAACGATTGCATTGTAACAATTTCGTAATGAGATTGAATTTGTTTCTCTTTTGGAATGTTGCCGTTCATACATGAAGGTAACCAATATGAAGACCTTGAAATTTGTTAAGCTAAAACAAAACAAACAAATATATATCTATATATAATGTAACACTTATTAATCGATTGTTTTTTTTTTATATTTTTCCAAGAATAGCGTTCCTATGTTAATGAATATTGATTGGATTTTACACTTAAAGGCAAAAAGTTAGACTTAAAATTAGACCTAATAATCTTTTCAGCAATTATAAAGTTGAGTAACACCTTGTTACAAAACAAACATTTCTATATATTTCAATGTCAATCATTTTTTATTAAATTTCAGCTTTTTTTTCTCTCTTTTATGTAGTGAAGTTTCTTGGTTATCTTAGAAATTATACTCATTATTTGTCAGAAAATGTTGATTGATATAATACAGCGTATTTCTTTGTTCAGGACTTTATCCTCCCTGAAGGGGGGGGGGGTGCTCCTTGTTTTATTCTTTGTACAATCATTCTTGTCAACAAAAACCAGTGTGTCAGGATCTTTGTCAATAATGCATGAAATCTTGTTCTGTCACTATGGCAACGGCTAGTTACAGTTCATCGTAAAGTCACAATTTCGTCTAATAGTATATCGACAAAATGAGGTTTTTAGAAAAAAATAAATTGTTTTGGGGCTGCTGATTTTAACAAAAGATTGACATCCAATTATGGAATTGCTTAGAGGCAGGCTTTTGTAAAAGAGTTTGATTGTTGTATATTTGAGTCGTGTCATGACAAAACCAACATGATGGGTTTGCGACCAGCATGGATCCAGACCAGCCTGCGCATCCGCGCAGTCTGATCAGAATCCATGCTGTTCGCTATCAGTTTCTCTACTTGTAATAGAGTTGGTAAGCGAACAGCATGGATCCTGATCAGAGCACAGAAGGCGCTGAATTTGTTTGGGTCTCAGAATGTCAGAAAGGTGAAGGTTGTGAGATTATAAACCAATTTGTTTTTGTATAGTGCCAACAATGTTTTCCAGTATTTAAACTGTAGTAAATTGGCTATAAGACTTATTGCAACTCTGATATCCAATTCAATGTTTATTTGACTTAAACAATTTTAAAAAATGAGATGCCTTAACTGGGATTTGAACACCAGACCTCTCGCTTTCTAAGCGAGCGTGCAAACCCCTCGGACACGGTGAAGTTATATGTTCACGGCCTGAAGAAAACCATATTATTCTAAATTAGGGTTTGTAACCCTTATTATTTCGACGCTAAACCTGTTGTTTAACACAGATGTAAATAATCATGGAGCCTACTATAAGCATGTATATTTATAAAGAATAAAACAATATTAGAAATCTTCGACCATTCGGGAACTATTTTGCTTGAAAATTAATGCGCCTGTCATTTGACAATATTTACGCAGTGATCTCCCCTGAATTTTTCGGCGTTAGTGTACATATAAAGGGAAATAACCGCTTCAAAAAAGCGTACTACTTTCGGCATTTGCAATTAACAACATCAGGTTCTGAAATTTCGCTACCATTATTTGTTTGATTTGACGACCCAAACAAATAAAAATGAGTGTATGAATATGAGTTAAGTATACAATAAAACAATGACTGACTGACTACGCTTGAAATGATTATTATCTCCTACCTAATTTTCTCGTTAAAATTATTTTGTAAATTGAAGCAGATGTTTTACATGTCGTCACACAATCTTGACGTGCCGCTCATCATATACCGATAGTAAACAGCAAACAATAATTCTACTATTCAACATCCAATCTGATTAAAATCAGATTTCTTGCCCGTTAATAGACAGTAACTGTTGTATCATAGTTTGGAGACCTACATCGTACACACATACATGCATAGCGCGTTAATTGGAGTGCAGTTATTAGCTACCTGTGCGATGCGCGTTCTCTGGGGTTTCATATTGTGGTGACAGGGAACTATATATAAATATCACAAAGTCTGGTCGTCTTCTTATAGAAAGATCAAATATCAAATACAATTTCAATTAAAAAGAACGAAGCAATGCTGTAACTGTTACGGCGCAATTTGACCTCAATTGTTTTTGTGTACCGTAAAACAAAAATAAAAAATAAAAGAAAAAAGAAAACAAGATTCTATCATATATATTTTCAGTGACATTGTCGGGATATCAAATTAAAACAGATGTTGTGAGAGATGTTATTATAGACATGTTATTGAATTTCGTGCTCCATTAATCGACATAGTAAACAAAGTTCGGATACAGGCGTATGCAATTAATGTGAGAAAAGAACATAAATCATGCAATCTTTCCAATAATCTGACAAACAAACAAGACCATCAATTACCACCAATTACAACTAGTTGTCTTCCTATAGTGTTAGACTTTTGAATGTTTATCGTGTTTATGTATCACATAAACACGATAAACATTCAAAAGTTCAGACATCGATTAAGCTATAAAATTATTATATAAAATAGAGCCCAGTTCATAAAAGATATAAGATTGTCGTGAACGACGTTTCATTTAAAACTTGTTTCATATAATGCTAATTTAGTGTTTGGAATACTCTTTACTTTGTTAATGTATCTTTACGTCTCACTTGATGTAAAATAAGTACTGCTTAACTTTTCCAAGTCAACACTACTCGCCCAATCTTTAATGTTTATAGATATGTCATTATCCTTTAATTACTGTGTTTTATTTCAAATTAAAGACATATTTGTCTTCGAATCTTATGGCAAGATGTTTTAAGTTTTTATTTTCTTCAATATTATTATAATAATAATAATGTGGTGCTTAATACATGTAACACAAAAGAAAATATATAAGGACATAAAATAGCATTTATCAAATAATACTGGCTTGTTGTACAAATCGTTTAAGTGAACCATTGTTTGTTTAACCATAACACAGATGTTGCTATGTCTTTGACATATATAGAATTTAAAAGTCGAAGTATATATATGGTACGTTTTACTAATGTAACCGATGGAAAAAACAGACAAATTGAAGCGGTTTTTTTTCTATGTTATAAGGGTTGAAATTGTGAATGCCAAAAATTAGATTGAAAAGGAGACTGACAAAAATACTTCTTATTTTATGATTGTGACATTAAACAAATTCAATCCAATGAATATTGATCTTTAGATGGTAAATTTGATTCACTATATTTTTCTTCTTTCAAAGCTATGAATATGGTGCAATCAATTCTCAGCAAAGCTTTAATGATATATTGATATATAAATTGTATGAACTATTGCAAATCACTGGATAGCAATTCCGTGTCTAGACATATTAATCTGTAAAAATGATTTTTGTATGTGTGTTTCTTATTCAGCAATTTTTGTTTTATTCTATGTATTATCTATATACAATGTATGTGATGAATTAATATCATAAATGAGTTGGATCATAATATTTAAGAATATAAATTGTTTTTATTAGACAACTGTTATGTTTTCTTTTCTTTTCGAGTTTCATACATATATAACGTTTGATATATGAAAATTAATTTGTGAAATTAAAAAAGAAGAATGCGTAAATGTTTTCATATCACATTTCATGTACATAAGTCGTATGAAATAACAGTCTTTAAAATCGTTGAAATAAAAAATACAAAATAATAAGACAACTTTACAATGAGGTATCGTCTTCGACTTTGTCGAAACACGTTTGTTAGCTAGCTTATTTGCACGTATAGAAATACAACCGATATTCTTTTTTTTTCTGACAGAACTTGCATGACATTGCGTTTTACTTTGCCAGTTTTAGAAAATAAAACTATTACTCAGATGACGTTAACGTGCACGGTAGAGACATCGTGCAATCTCACAAATATTTTTCAATAACGTTTTGCTTTCTACAAATGAAACTAAACAAACAAGTATGTGCTGCAAAGCTGTTCACTCCTGTTTATAATATACTCTAATTGATTTAAATAAAAGGTTTTATCAAATGTGTCTTCTTTTGTACGAGAGTAAATCACACATTGACATTTCTATCTACAATCATTCATGTCTGTAAAAGCGATTGTCAGCAACAATGTCAATAATGCATAGAATTCTGTTCTGTTACTATGGAAACATTTGTAACCATTTGTCCTCCTGCTACAATTTTCGGTAACATTTTTATCGGTTTAATTAGCTTTACCGTATCTTTTAACTTTAACAAAACAAAAATGATAGCTTGCCCAACGACATATTTGATAAAGTATTCCAGTATTTTTAAGGAACTCTCACTTACGTGCATAACATAAAATTTGAATTTCTTACATAAATTAAAATGATAAAGTAATATTTTCTTAATTAAATACTACCCTTATTCTAATTTATAATACATGTATATCAAAAGTAACAGGTACAAGTTAAAACACATATACCCAGTCGATTCAAAGATCAGTGGCATTTTAATATCGAGATAGTGGAATGAGTTACCTATATATTTCCTACCTCCCGTAGCGCCATTTCCATTTACATGGAAATAAACAGTCTGATCACGCAACACAATCAATATGGATTCGATTATTTCAACCATTAAAACTTGTTTCTGCAGCAATTAAACAGTGCCTTACATTGTTGGTATTCCTTAAGCTTCAGCTGATAAAATGATTGATCTTAGATAAGTCATTGATCAATCTATTTCAGTTCACATGAAGTTAAAGATATAGGGCAAAAACACGCACAATCGCAATATGTATCGTCTTTAACGTCGTTATGTGCCGCCAGGCAATGTATTTTTGTAGGGAACACGGGGTGGGAGGCAGGGCGGTAGGGGTGATGCCGTTAACATTGAACTTTCCTTCGTTCTGATTTAGACTTGGGCTGTATTTAGTGCTTTTGTACAACCTACCCTTCCTATTATCAATATTTTCATCAACAAATTGTAAATTACAAACGTATGTTTGTTTTGGTATATTTCAGGAACTAGTTGGTACAACTCAGGAGAAGCGGAATTGGCGTGGTATAGTTATAGCACTACTAGTGATAGTAACAGTACTCGCTCTCATTGTTACAGCAATCATATTAGTCACTCCAAGTAAGTTTTAATGAGTAAATTATATCTTAACAATTTTTGAAAAGATACAAGTCTACTTCTGATGATTTAAACACTGAAAGTAACGAAATATTTCCATAAACCTTTAAAGATATTAATGATAAATATCATAGACATCATTTGTAGAAATTTTCATTTGATAAAAATTTACGTATTTTATGACGTATATCAAAGTCACCAGGCAAAAACGAGTTCACAAAAGTCAATATCGATCGTATGACCCACAAGATGCGAGATTTGTTGTGCTACGACGATACTAAATGGTTGGATGTTTCGCCATTCTTTTACCATGACACTGTACCGAGGTAAGTTGTGGATTACCTGGTGTAACATAAACCAACTGTGCATCAACGAAAGAGTAATGTGAACTAAATGTGTTCTTCGTGTTTATCTAGTGGTTGTCAGCTTTTACTATTCCTCGTGGCAACAAGGCAAAGCCAAGCGCAATGTTGGATGTTATATAAAAAAACACTAAAATGTATTTTCTCTCAAGTCACAGTGCTAATTTGACGTTCTGAGATGAGCTTTGTCTTCGACAGAATCTTGTACTATAAAACCTGCACCTGTTACATTACTGTCCCATAGTATAATGGCAAAATATCCTTAAACAGCTGCAAATATGTTGTCTTCCATGCACAACATTTTTTTGCAATACAATATTTACTTTTTGCGGACTCACTTGTCAGCTTTGTCGTAAAATACGTAAACAATTGTCAGCTTCTCTAGAATTCCTACTGATTATTTCTATAAAGAATATAATACGTACTTATAATTTGTTCATAATTTCATGAAAAAGTCCTTAACTCGTCAGAGTTTGACTGGTTCCTTACTTCAGTTGTTTAGTTTATATACTGTCCTACATCAATATAAAAAGCCTCGCATTAAAAAGGTATTTACTTATTAATGATTTAGATGCATTTTACTTTTTTTCATAGTTTTTAATATTTAAAATATCTGTTCTATAAATGTTTTAAATAATCAACGATATCGAGAAAGGGATTGACGGAGGAGATTCCGCGAATATGCAAGTGGTTTTTATTGTTTCTGATTATTCATTACTTAACTTCATCGTTTTTATCTTGTAGAAAACATATTCCAATGAATAAGTCTGACTACTGTCTACGTTCTGATTCTCTTTAGGACTACTTTTTTTCTATTGTATTGCACAAACTATTGTAAAAAGATGGTGCACGGATTAGGAATATTTGTAAATGAAAATGATATAAATGATGTTAAATATATAAATGGAGCGTTTGTCAAAAAAGTTATAGGACAAAACCTTAATGGAATAATTGTTATTGTTTTATGATGTTTTGTGTTTGTGTTTCTATATATTGTTAAAAAGGCCACATTTATAATTAAGATACGTTTGTTTTCTACAATAGTATATCTTCATGTGTTACCTTCTTTAGATAAAGATATTATTATTATTATTATTATTATTATTATTATTATTATTGTTATTACAGAATCTTTAGACGAGATCGAAGGGTCAAAGATCAGTTTTAAAAGTTTCATAAGAAATGAATATGAACCAAGACAGTTCCAGCCGATATGGTTACCAGGTAACTAGAATTTTAAATTGAATTCTATAGATGGGATGTTATCTGAATATAGTCGTATTCTTTCATGTTTTCCTCGTTAACTTTTTTATAGAGGGAATTATTTTTTCTAGTCATGGAGTCTATGATAAATAATGAAGCTTACATTTGCCATGGTCGTCCAAATTCAGGCTTAACAGACCGAGCTGCAAAAATATCAAACTTACCTTGTTTAATGACCTATTTTGGTACGCATATGTCGTCGGTTTCAAGTACTAGTAACAATTTTGTTAAATCCTTAAAATTAATGTCCATTATTGTAACTACCGAATACAACGGATGAAATTTGTTTTAATGTTATATCAAAATAATTGCATGGTTCATATGATTCGTCGTAAATTTCAATTTAAACACGCCATGAATTTGCATAATTGGCAATCATTGCATTACTGTCAATCATTGCATTACAGTCAATATTTAATAAAACAAAGTAATTCAATCCAATAAATGATCTATACTGTAAACGTTACTTATTTAAATGATATGAATAACTGGGCTGACATGGTAACACCATATACACGATTTTATTTCCCCCATTTCCTAAGTTATATTAACTTTGATCTGTGATATATATATAATCATCATAAAATTGACCGTTGCATATTTTCTACTATGCTGAAGTTACGAATATCACTTCACTATTTTAGCCATTTACGTTTTAATTTTATAAAGAATGATACATAAATAAAACAAGGTTTGACTAATTGAGTGGAATATATAATTTACAATAAACTCTATAAGCACATCATTAAGAACAGTACTTATGTTTAAAAGCACTTTCAAATTGTAAATGAAGCCTCAAATCTCACACCATAAAAAGTTTAGGTCCGAGGTACTACAAAATGATGGTACATATAGGAACAGTTATAGTTTTCCAGATAAGTAAATTAGTTGCCACAAGTAGTTTTCTTCTGCTGCAGTGCAGTGTCCAACCATAGTGTTTGCCTCATTCGTCTTTGGTAGCCGATGGGTGCCCTTGTACGTCGAAGTTTATATTTTCTGTCTTGTTTGTTTTTACTCCCATTCCAGACAAAAACGAAATAAATTCCATGTCGTGGTGTTCTCTGTACTCAACATATGAAAAAGATGACTATAAATGACTTTTAATTTATGATAATTTTAATGACAGTTTTATGGTGCCCGAAGCGTAAGCATTTAGTCGCGCTTTGCCCGTCCGTCTGTCCGCCCGTGACATAACAAGAGGTATCAACATGAAACTTTGTTTGTAGGTAGATAGATATCATTGGGTAGATGTGCAGTGCACAAGAACCGTTACTGTGCCTTGCTTAATTTTGAAGTTATTGCCCTTTGTTCATTTTTGCATTTTGAACTTTGTCCGCGACATAACTCTTAAACTATAAGTAAACATGAAGCTAGATAGGTAAACATGTAGGTAGGATATTTCTCATTTAATTGATGTGCAGTGCATAAGAACGTAACTCTGCCTTGCTTAATTTTAGAGTTTTTGCCCTTTTGTTCATTTTAAACTTCAACTTTGTCCGGGACGTAACTCTAAAACTTTAAGAGATATCAACATGAAACTTTGTAGGAACATAGATCTCATTAGGTAGAAGTGCAGTGCAAAAGAACCATAACTCTGCCTTGCCTGATTTTTGATCTCATTTAAATGATGTGCAGTGCATAAGAACGTAACTCTGCATTGCTTAATTTTGGAGTTATTGCCCTTTGTTCCTTTTAACACTTTGAACTTTATCCGGGACATAACTCTGAAACCATAAGAAGTATCATAAAGAAACTTTGTAGGTACATAGATCTCATTAAATAGAAGTGCAATGCAAGAACCGTTACCTTGCCTTGCTTAATTTAGGAGTTATTGCCCTTTGTTCATTTATACACTTTGGACATTGTCCAGGACATAGCCTCGAAAGTATAATAGATATGAACAAGACACTCTGTAGGTATATAGATCTCATTTGGTCACAAGTGCACAAGAACTGTTACTCTGCCTGGACTTACTTTGGAGTTTTGGCTTGTTTTGTTCATTTTTGTCACCTTTGTCTGGGACATAAGTCTGAAAATACAAAATTATACTTTTCTGTGTCTAAAACCTATTCGGGGAGCATCGCCCGGATCAACCGGCTCTTGTTTAAAAAATGTTGTATAATACAATTTTCTTATATGAATCATTGTATAAAATTGCCATCTTACATATTGAAACTTAGGACCGTGTTTTATATGTTATGTGATAATATTGAGAAACATGTATGGATAATTTGACAGCGTAACGGTTATAAGTACGATATTTTACGACGTGGTAATCGGTGTCTAGTCAAGTAAGTGACGCGGGAATGGCCGCTTATTACAGTAAATGACAGTACTCTCTGATATCATTAGTTTCGTAGGAAACAATAAATCAGTTATACAAGTCAACCATGTCCAGTAATCAATAAAAATATATCACACTAAAAGCTTTTTCTGATAGATATTGAAGTATTTGTGTAAAGGGAAACCAAAGGGTTGCCTCATTCCTAATGTATATATTTTTCCCATAAACCAAAGGGTTGCATCATTCCTAATGTATATATTTTTCCATAAACCAGAGGGTTGCATCATTCCTAGTGTATATATTTTTCATATAAACAAAAGGGTTGCATCATTCCTAATGTATATATTTTTCCATAAACCAAAGGGTTGCATCATTCCTAGTGTATATATTTTTCCCATAAACCAAAGGGTTGCATCATTCCTTATGTATTTATTTTTCCATAAACCAAAGGGTTGCATCATTCCTAGTGTGTATTTATTTTTCCATAAACCAGAGGGTTGCATCATTCCTAGTGTATATATTTTTCATATAAACAAAAGGGTTGCATCATTCCTAATGTATATATTTTTCCATAAACCAAAGGGTTGCATCATTCCTAGTGTGTATTTATTTTTCCATAAACCAAAGGGTTGCATCATTCCTAGTGTATATATTTTCCCCATAAACCAAAGGGTTGCCTCATTCCTAATGTATATATTTTTCCCATAAACAAAAGGGTTGCATCATTCCTAATGTATATATTTTTCCATAAACCAGAGGGTTGCATCATTCCAAGTGTATATATTTTTCCATAAACCAAAGGGTTGCATCATTCCTTGTGTATATATTTTCCCCATAAACCAGAGGGTTGCATCATTCCTAATGTATATATTTTTCCCATAAACCAAAGGGTTGCATCATTCCTAGTGTGTATTTATTTTTCCATAAACCAAAGGGTTGCATCATTCCTAGTGTATATATTTTTCCCATAAACCAAAGGGTTGCATCATTCCTTATGTATATATTTTTCCAATAAACAAGAGGGTTGCATCATTCCTAATGTATATATTTTTCCCATAAACCAGAGGGTTGCATCATTCCTAATGTATATATTTTTCCCATAAACCAGAGGGTTGCATCATTCCTAATGTATATATTTTTCCCATAACCCAAAGTGTTGCATCATTCCTAATGTATATATTTTCCATAAACCAAAGGGTTGCATCATTCCTAATGCTAGTGTATATATTTTTCCCATAAACCAAAGGTTTGCATCACTCCTAATGTATATATTTTCCCATAAACCAGAGGGTTGCATCATTCCTTATGTATATATTTTTCCCATAAACCAAAGGGTTGCATCATTCCTAGTGTATATATTTTTCCCATAAACCAAAGGGTTGCATCATTCCTAATGTATATATTTTTCCATAAACCAAAGGGTTGCATCATTCCTAGTGTATATATTTTTCCCATAAACCAGAGGGTTGCATCATTCCTAATGTATATATTTTTCCCATAAACCAAAGGGTTGCATCATTCCTAATGTATCTATTTTTCCATAAACCAAAGGGATGCATCATTCCTAATGTATATATTTTTTCATAAACCAAAGGGATGCATCATTCCTAATGTATATATTTTTTCATTAACCAAAGGGTTGCATCATTCCTAGTGTGTATATTTTTCCAATAAACCAGAGGGTTGCATCATTCCTAATGTATATATTTTTCCCATAAACCAAAGGGTTGCATCGTTCCTAATGTATATATTTTTCCCATAAATCAGAGGGTTGCATCATTCCTAATGTATATATTTTTCCCATAAACCAAAGGGTTGCATAATTCCTAATGTATATACTTTTCCATAAACTAAATGGTTGCATCATTCCTAATGTATATATTTTTCCAGAAACCAAAGAGTTGCATCATTCCTAGTGTATATATTTTTCCCATAAACCAAAGGGTTGCATCATTCCTTATGTATATATTTTTCCCATAAACCAGTGTGTTGCATCATTCCTTATGTATATATTTTTCCCATAAACCAAAGGGTTGCATCATTCCTAATGTATATATTTTTCCCATAAACCAGAGGGTTGCATCATTCCTAATGTATATATTTTTCCCATAAACCAAAGGGTTGCATCATTCCTAATGTATATATTTTTCCATAAACCAAAGGGTTGCATCATTCCTAATGTATTTATTTTTCCATAAACCAAAGGGTTGCATTATTCCTAGTGTATATATTTTTCCCATAAACCAAAGGGTTGCATCATTCCTAATGTATATATTTTCCCCATAAACATTAATATATGTCGGTATAGTTTATTCATATATCATGTTTATAAGTATATAATTATGTAGTTTTAGTTTGAAATATTGTTAGAGCTACAGCTATAAATAGCCTCAGCTTTACTGGTCACTGTAAGATCACTCTAATATTAATATAAGTACATAAAATGTGCTAGGCTTGTTAATAAGAATATAAAATACCGGTAAAGCAATATCATTGATGATTTCTTAAATACATTGATTCTTATTTAAATGTTCGATCACAGAGTTCTAAATACAGGAGATAAAACAAAGGAAAAATAAATATTAAGGCCGGTTTTATTGAATCAGTTCATCAGAAATAATGTCAGTTTCTTAATCTCTCTAAATAGGGGTAATACCAAAAACAGTGTAATGAAAGCACTGGAAGGGGCATAAAATATCACAACACTGAGATAATGAAGGCGGATGTCAGATGCCACACAGAACAACTTAATAATTATTGACAAGTTACATACGTAAGAATTAGAAAAGGGCGACTTTAATCAAGATATCTTTTTGATTGAATCACAAATCTATATGCCCACCCCTTGACTGAAAGTGCGTAACATCTAGTGTAAATATGTGTTCTTTAAAATTGTCCTTATCATGTTGCCTATAACTTTTAATTTTATGTTACTCCTTAAAGCATATATAAAAGACAAAGCTTTTTCTTAACATGTCGAGGCATTCAGTTGTAATAACATGTTTTATATGCCTTTTGCAGGGATGTTATAAAGGCTAAATTGTTTCTCTATTTTAACAGGCGAGGAGGCATTTATTTTCCAAGACAGGGACGGCGCAGTCAAAGAATTTAATTGCTTAGATAATTCGTCTACCGTTTTATTTGGAAACTTAACATTTGTAAGCTATCTTTGTTTTTATCAGTTTTTAGTACTCTTTACTCCATGTCGATCTTATTCTAACAAGTAGCTCTATGCTGATTGTGAATTTCGATAACGCAATACACAAATGGTTAAAATACCCTTGTAACCAATAGTTATTTTCTTTATTTAGATGAATAATGAAGATATCTTTTAGTATTTTGTTATAACGAGAATATCAGTTTTTGTCATAATACTTCGTTAATTAAATCATTATCTTGGATTGTGTCTTTTAACAGAATTGAAAGATTTATACGTCATGTGTCATTGAATATACAGATCTGCTTCCAGAATAAAAGAGGATTTTCCGAGTGTCCCTCTTTTTGGCCCGATTTAGAGTTATTTCTATTCTAATACAGGTTTTTGGGCATAAAAGGACAAAAACAGCAAAAAATCAGTAATATCTTTTTTATTTTTCAACAAAATTTGTTCATACGTCTGAACAAAACAAACTATAAGAGTCAAAATAGCACACAAATTAGCCGCTTCAATTTTGTTCATACGTATGAACAACTTTTTTCCTCAACTTGTAAGGTTTTTGTTCATACGTATGAACACTGCATTATTTCAGTCATTTTGTGGTTATTTTGAAACAAATTTTGTTCAGACGTCTGAACAAAACCAACTCACAAAGTAAAAAATATCACATAAATAAACAGCTGCAATTTTGTTCATACGTGTGAACAAAAAAGTAAATCAAATTTTAATTAAAATTAACATTTTTTCAACATGATGGCAGATTTTTGTTCATACGTATGAACACAGTCAACATCATTTCAGTCATTATGTGGTTGTTTTTAAACAAATTTTGTTCATACGTCTGAACAAACAAACTCACAGAGTGAAATTGCATATAAATTACATGATACAATTTTGTTTATACGTATGAACAAAAAAAATTAACATTTTTCAACATGGCAGGTTTTTGTTCACACGTATGAACACAACATCATTTCAGTAATTTTGTGGTTATTTTGAAACAAATTTGTTCATACGTCTGAACAAAACTAACTCAGAGAGTGAAAAATAACACATAAATTACATGATACAATTTTGTTCATACGTATGAACAAAAAAAAATAACATTTTCAACATGGCAGGTTTTTGTTCACACGTATGAACACAACATCATTTCAGTAATTTTGTGGTTATTTTGAAACAAATTTGTTCATACGTCTGAACAAAACTGAAATGATGTTGTGTTCATACGTGTACCTTTTTCTTCTTTCAGAGGGAGCTCAACACAGACCAATTTAAACTGTCGCCAGACAAACAATATGTATTGTTTCAATACGACATTGAGGCTGTAAGTATAATTCTATTAAATGATAACTTCCTGCTATTTTCCCATGCCATAAACAACAAACTCATTGATCTTAGACCATTTTTGGGATAGTATCTTTGCTATTTAGATTATAAGAAGCAACCATTATCGGAGTTTAGTGTAATGTAAAATACACGGTGCATATCCATATCGGTACCCTCTTTGCGAAATATACTCAAATGGTACCCTCTCTGCACATGCAAAGGCTATTCTTTGCTAAAAACAAACCAGCTATGGATAACAATCCAGCTAATGTTCCTGAGGTATGTCATGTGGAAAATATGTATACAACGAAACACTAGAATGTTTTATCTTCGAGTGTTTATTGTAGTGTGTCCATTTTCAATTATTGCAACCCCATTATCAGCTACATAAAATGGGCATGTCTTGTATCGCCCATCACCTCGACTTAATTTTCGAAATGAACCAGTTGCTTGAAAATATATGCATCATACATACTACATATGTTCATTTATACATAATCACCACGAGGCTATCTGATTCGTACGAGGGGGCGTAGCCCCCCCCCCCCTTTTGTATCATAGTCAAACATGAAAACGGGTAACTTGTTGTTCCCAGAAAAAGTAACCAATGAACGAGCATCTGAATATGAAATTTCTGTCGCTTTCCCTTTCTCTGCCGTCACAATAAGTCAACCCCAGCAAAAATGAGTCAATCAATGGGCATGTTCTGCAGTGCGGGTAACTAATACCTGCACTCCAGTTAACGCACTATGCATGTATATGTATACGATTTAAATCTAGAAAGGTCCCAAAACTATGATACAAGTCATAATAGGAGCAACATTTAACAATGTAAAGATTTTACTTCAATACAAAATACTTAATTTATAACTGTACTGATTAACAAAAGCAACAGACTGAAGCAAAATCTTGATTAGGTTATAGGCCAATGAGTAACCTTTTTAAAACTACATGTAAAACAGGACACCAAAATCACGGTTCTACAACATATATATCTATCTGAAAAGTATAAAACATTTCCTATAACTACGGTGATTCATGTGGATCATCGAGGTATTGTGCTGCCTTGATGGCATTAGTATTACAATGCCATAACCGGGGAAAACGCTTGCATAATTTGACAACGAGTTCGATTCGAGCAATACCTGTCGTGCAATATCGTTACTAGTGCTATATATTCATATTGATGAATTTTGATTGATAGAAGCTCACATTGGTACGAATCCTGAGTGGATCGAATTCTTTTATATTAGTAAACTACACAGCAAGCTGGCAATTGTCTGTTGATTTTCCTGAAATACTGAAAGAGGGGCATGCTAGATTTTCTTCCACTGACCAAAAAGCTGCAAAACTTGTCTTTATATGAACTTTTGTATCGTGTGCCATTTAAACTGAACAATAACCAGTTAGTTAAATGTTATAAAACATTGTACAAAATTGGCGTTCTCAGCTGCATACTCTGTAAATTAATGATATTTCAGTTTAATCTGATTCGTTCACCTTGACCTTTACATGCAGTATAATTCCATGAATGCTTGAATGGGCAGTTCTTATTTAAGACAGGCGATTCCTGCCACTGACCATTTCTAAGATTAAGCATCATAATGTTTACAGTTGTGTTCTTCTATTTTATTTATTCACATTTGTGAATAACAGAACTTCGTATCATTACACTATAGTATATTTACGTACATAAAAATAAGAAATATTACATACTTAACGATAAACGCAAATAAAAGCGTATGTCGTACTTTGAGGGTACCTGTGTGTAAAAAATATAAGAGGGTACCTGTGATATAAAAATTCAAAAGCAAAGAGGTAGTCCGTGCCTCTGTAAAACCAAAAGTAGGGCGTTTTTATGAATTTTACATTTTTTTTTTGGCAATATACTGCCGTTTGTCCGAAGATCAACTTTAACTTTATCTTCCTTTAGTCTGATTGGCCACACGTCTGAACGACATTCTGTTTCAACACTGGTTTTATTCTTTTACTTGCATCGTAATTAATATGATTTTACAAAGTAAATTTACGAGAGTTGATATTGATATGACGTCAAATACGTATGTTTAATGACATCATATCTGTAAGTTCCTGTAGTAACATCTTAATTGATCATTGATTGTTAATGAAAATTAACGAATAAAGGTTTGTATGTCAATATTGAGATATGTTCACTTTTTGAGACAAAATCATATTTTAATCACTGATCGGTCAAGTTATATAAGAAAATAATCCAATGTTATCTTTCTATCACACTTATTCCAGTAAATGTTAGAAATATATACATAAGTGCTAGATTAAATAACCACAAAATATTAATTTAAGATGTTTCTGTTGCAGGTATATAGACATTCCACCATTTCAAAATATAAAATTTTACATTTAGAATCTGGGTAAGTGTTTTAGTTGTTACTTTGCGTAATATCAAATAAAATTGATCCCTTTAAATTTCAACACTAAAATAGAAAACAATGACATGAATGAAAATGATAATTACTTTTTATATTGTAAGAATGTTAATATATATATGTTTATTGCAATATGAAACAGTAAAAATGTATACAGTTACAGACACATGACAAATACAGAATGTTACTTTAGATATAAAAAAGATTTATAAAGTAACAATCTTCCAACTCCGGAGCATTTCATTATCAGTAGCTTATATATATATTATTTATATTATATACATATAATACACATTAGCAATATATAAACCTGGCAATTATATGACTTATTGGAAACCTCAAAGAATGACCAACAAGACAAATTGGCAAATGAAACATTAAAGAAGAGCGTTTAGTCTAAGATCTGCTCATATCGCAGTGATCATTGGACCACAGAGACCTATTGATCAGCAAATAAGTGGCGATATGACCGAGTGGTTAACGCGTCTGACTATTAATCTAATGATCGCTAGCCGCATGGGTTCAAATTCCGTCAGTTGTTTCCTTGAGCTAGAAACTTTACACTTATTGCTCAGTACTGGTTGGTTCCTGGAACGGATCCGAAAGTGTGTCTATAAGCTTGTAGCTTCCTACACAATCGAACTAAAATAAATTCTGTTTTAACCAAATAAGTGTTTAACATTAGTCAAACAGTACTAAATGTATTGACCTGATGCTTTGTTCCTGTGATTCGGTCATATATTTTTCAACACATCTATATAATTATACAAGATGGAGAAATATACGTAGGCGTTTTCTTCTGTTCAATGACTCGCATATCTTCATTTATATTAAAACGATCTACAATTGTACAAGTCGACAGGCTGATACATTCAATTCTTTAGTTGGCCTTATAGATGTTGTTTATCAGGAAAACCAGTCCCTAGTACATCACTTTAATCAGAATGATAAACAGCTCTTATCCAGAATTAATGAAATATTCTAGCTAACACAATTTCATTAAGTGAACGGTCTTGATTTCCCGTCCCTGGTGTCTATATTGATTCTCACTGTAAAATATAATCCCATATTACATTGTTCTGTGGCAATGAAACAGACAAACGCCTGCATAATCCTGATCATATTTTTTTTCTGCATTGAAGACGTCATTATTCCAGTACGTTCAGACGCTGTTAAGAGATTATTGTATATTCAATGTGGCCATACCACGTGACTTTTCGGGTACGGAACACGCCGATTTTTCACCCGATTCAGGTATGTTTTTTATTCATAACTTATTTATTACTCAACCGATTTTGATCAGATAAGGCGCAGAGGACCCGTAATTATATCAGCTATCCACGGTATATAAAAATTCTGAAAACCCCTGAATGGTTTTTGAGAACATTCGAGTACAGTTTTCTTTTCATAGCCTGGGCCTAGGGAACGGTACACACTCATTTGTCATAACAAGCAATTTTTTAGCAAGTCATATGTTTTTGACACTATTTCATAGAAAAATACATGTTAAATCTGATATATTTACTATGTCCAATGTATCGAGTGAATACAGTGATGTTTTAGCATATTTTCATAAAGTTATGTTGAAATGGTACGGAACACACTGTTATTTCAAAAGATACGGTACACACACAATTTCTGTCTTTGTAATAATTCTAAATAAAATATATTAAAATTAATTTAAATTATAATATTAGTGATTTTTTTCAAAGTTATACATTTTATTAATTTAAACTAGAACCCAGGGACCTGTTTTGCAATGTATCATAATGATTATTTTTAATGTTTATATGTATTTGTGCACTATATTTCAAGAGATCACGCTTAACATTTACAGCCTCCATGTAATTGTCCTATTTAAAATCACCTAGGGTATGTTAAACACTTCGATCTTCACAGAATTAGGTAGTTGCGCTCCATAGAAAGAAAATGTTGTTATATAATGCTGTGTTTATTGTTGTTTTTTATTTCTTTTAGTTTAAGTGAAGTAAGATATGTCTTTTTGCTTCATCCTGAAAAAATAAAACAAGGTCATGACCTAAATCGCTGAAAAGTATCATTACTTGATAACAATTTATATATATTTATATTTTGTTAATAATAAGCAAGTCATTAGGTACAATTTTGCAATATCATGGTCATGTTTAATTAAATCAAATCACAGAAGGCGCTGAATTTGTTTGGGTCTCAGAATGTCAGAAAGGTGAAGGCTGTGAGATTGTTAACCAATTTGTTTTTATATAGTGCTACCAATGTTGTTTCTAGTGTCATAACTGTAGTAAATTGGTTATAAGGCTTATTGCAACACTGATATGTAATTCATTGTTTATTTGGCTTAAACATTTAAAAAAAAACAAAAAAAACAAAAAAAACAAAAAAAAAAAACATTGGTTGCCTTAACTTGGATTTGAACTCAGGACATCTCTCTTCCTAAACGAGCGTGTAACCCCTCGACCACGGGGAAGTTATAAGATAACAGCCTGAAGAAAACCATATCATTCTAAATTAGGGTTTGTAACCCTTATTAATTTCGTTTGACACTGATGTAAATTAATATTACATGTATATCTGTAAAGAATTACAATATTTGAAATCTTTGACCAATCGGGAACTACTTTTTCATCTCCTGAGAAGGCTTGAAAATTAATGCGCCCGTCATTTGACAATCTTAACACAGTGATCCCCCTTTATTTTTTCAGCGTTAGAGTACATATAAAGGTAAATAACCGCTTCCAGGCCCCGTGTTCACAAAGAAAAGATCAGGATCAGGATCAAGTGATCCTGATTTTATTTCCATTGTTTTATGTTACTAATATTTATTGTGTTTTGCTGGAATAAAATAGTAAATATTCAAAATGTAAAAACTGCTGATTTGCAAAGAAATCAAACTATTTTGGAATAAACTTAACAAATAACAAAACAAATACAAAAATATTCGGATCAAAATAAGGATCAATTTTAGGATCAGGATCAATATTTGGATCAACTGTAAAATGTCCGTATCTTGTAAAAATAACAATAAATTTATTCTAAAATTTCATTAATTTGCTACTGCAAGTCCAGTTTTATCAAATTAATTTTAGATATTTAATCTATGAGGATAAAAAATGAAGAATATTAGATGTTTTCAATTTGATCCTGATCTTGATCCTGATCCTTAAATCTTTGTGTACACGGGGCCAGGGGTTCGGACCACTTTCCTATTTTGCAAATAATCATATCAGAGCCCGAAATTTCGCTACCATTATTTGTTTGGTCTGACGATCAAAAAAAAAAATGTAGCCGCCATTGCTTAAATTTTTAATGTTAAAATAACTTTTAATTCATGTAACAAGGTCATTTTTGGTTTGGTTTCATGGCTCATAAAACTGACATTATCATGTGGCGACTTTCGAGTTTACATGTGCCCCTTTGGGTATAAATAAAGGAACGAACGGGCATCTGAGTAAAACGACCGACATTCTGTACGGTAGTAAGAAAACTTTCCCACATAAAAAATCGAAACATCGAAGTCACTCGTGGTCTCGAACCTACTTCATGTAGTATATAAAACAGAACGCAGCCTCCAAATCCATAGCTTCTCACTTCCCCTCGGAGCGTGCACGTCGCTGAGAAGGCACAGGGCATCGGCAGAAGATTTACAACTTGGCTGGTAGTCAACTTAAATTTTTCCTTAGGGAACTCCTACTTCGTCACTTCTGCGGACCAGCTGCCGATGTCCTGACTAATGCCGAGGGGAGTGGCCCTACAAAGTAGGCTGAGACGACGAGGATGGTGTACTAGGGTGCGTGAGCCCCTAGTACAGATAGACGGCTTGTAAGGCAGGCCTATAGCTGGCACCAACAGCCCTTTTCAGGGCTAAACACCTACCTTTCCTATTGTCACAGGTTACTGTACATTTAGGTTCTCATTGACCGCCGTACAGTGGCCTACTTTTCGGCTCAACATTCATATCTTTGGCTAATACTCCGTGGAAATTGCATGGAGGTAAATTATCACCATTTTGTGCTTCAAAATTAACTCTTTAAGGACATGACTGGTGACATGTCCGGGGTCCGTACTCGACAGCGCAAGCTGCATTTTGTGCCCGAAAGGGCGGATGGACCCTCATTAAGCATTAACTACATACATACATACCAAATCCATAGCATTTGATTGACAAAATGGGTATTATTAAAATATCATTTTATTTTTAACACAAACACGCAAGCACACATATCCATGAACTCAAGTGTTAAATGCATCTTGAAATGAAAGTCCAAGATAGGCATAATTTTACCAAATTTCCTAACATGTATATCCTTACATGTATATGTAACAAGGTTACCTTGTATAAACTACGTTACGTTATATAACAAGCCTTGTTCCCATATGGGTTCTTCAAATTATCAAATTTGATTGCACGTAAACTGCGAAATATAATTGTACATATGTAGATCATTTGATAATTTAGATACATGCAGTTTGCTTGGGACCCTGGCAGATGATCATTCCAAATATCATGTGGCCGAAAAAAAAAACTTTAAACTTTCCGTGATTTAAAAAAATCCACTTACATCAAAACCAGCGTTTTTTCTCCAAATTCGATTTATTTAAACAACATTTTGCAACGAACAAATATTTCCAACTTACTCCTAACTTCTTGTTTGTTTATATATTCATACTACGTTTAGATGGTCATTTATATATTCGAACAAACAAATTAAATGAAATAATAATCGCACATAACAGATGTCCATGAATTTCACAATTCGTTTTATAATCCAAAAGAATATACCTATAATTGTTTCAAATGTTAAACAAAACAAAACAAAATTTTGAATGTCTTCCGTATCCCTCCCTAAAATTTTAACATTTTATAGCCAAATATTAAATGCTCAACATATAAAATCGAATTTTGCGCAACCTACTCTCAAAATGTTCTTTTATTTTTTGAATAATCCTGTTTACATCAAACTGTAGGTATAATGATACTTTGCAAAACAGGTCCCTGGGTTCTCGTTTAAATTAATAAAATGTATAACTATGAAAAAAATCACTCACATTATAATTTAAATTAATTTTTTTATATATTTTATTTTAGAATTGTTTCAAAAACAGAAATTGTGTGTACCGTATCTTTTGAAATAACAGTGTGTTCCGTATCATTTCAACATCACTTTATGAAAATATGCTAAAACATCACTGCATTCACTCGATACATTGGACATAGTAAATATATCAGATTTAACATGTATTTTTCTATGAAATAGTGTCAAAAAACATATGACTTGCTAGAAATCGCCTGTTAAGCCATGTAACACCGCACTTTGGGGTCAAACGCACTTTGGGGTCCGACCCCAAAGTGCGTTAAACTTCGCACCGCACTTTGGGGTCAAACGCACTTTGGGGTCAAAATCGAGAAATTGACCCCAAAGTGCGTTAATATGCTACATATCAACGCACTTTGGGTTCCAGAGATCTAAAGGTGTCATCTGAGATCTGCTTAAATACTGAGTACTGACTTATTTTCGATCTGCGACATTGAAATATTTGAGGTGGAGTTCAAGATGGCTGTCAATGCATTGATGTTAAGTGATAAAACTTTCATTAATTTTACCACTTGAAATATCTAAAAATTGTGTTCATATAACAAAATTACGGTGGCATAAAAGTGACATTTGGTTTGGGTTACCGCGGACTATATATATACTAAAAGTGTTGTTATTTTTTTTATACCTCCAAAATGAAAATGTTGGTATTTGCAAATAGCATTTGCAAATGGGGTACTGTAATTTACAGATGGCGAAGTGTTTAAAAAATGGTGTTTTACAAATGTCGTAATTATCCAAACCGCTACTTTGCAAATGACGTCATGTAAAAATATGTACGAAAAAAAACAAAAATAAAATATGTTTAAAAAAAACAAAAAAAAATATGTATGCAAAACTAAAAAAGATTATGTATGCAAAACTAAAAAAAAGTATGTATGCAAAACTAAAAAAATATATATACGACAAACAAACAAAATATGTACGAAAAACAAAAAAAATATAAAAAATGCAAATGTCACTTTTATGCCACCGTTCAAATTACTCTTGTACAAAAATTGTTTATTCCTAAAATTAAAAGATGCTGCGAAAAAATGTCCCGTTCTGTCAGTCATTTACTTGATAACGTTTGGTGCCATATTGAGCCCCATTTTAAATATGTTGGGAATGAAATAAAATGCAGTTAATTTTTTCCAAAGAAGTATAAATATACATGTACTCTATTGCAATGTTCTGGTGAAACATCAAGTTTTTCGATCGGACTATAAATAGTGATTTTCACAAATACATTATTAATAAGCTTATCAACAAACTTAAGGGTTTTTGTAAGCTCCGTAACAACCGTTCGCCAGGGGATATGGACAAAAGCGCCCGGACGAAAGCCCCCCCCTCTTTTGTCCGGGGGTGGGGGTTTTGTCCTACACTCGTTCGCCAGAGGGTTTTTTTAATGGGAAATCTTACATACTTCGTAAGAAAGAGCAAACACGAATTTTATAATGTTAAAATAATGGTATCAGAGAAATGTAAGATGCTTGTTACCTAAATAAAGTAGCGATAAATGTAAGATTATTTGTCATAAAAGTAGTCAAAACAATGTAGTAGTTGACTTCCATATAAAATACTTATTCACTATAACTGTACTCATTATTGCCAAAAAGCAACAGATGAAAAAGATGGTTCGGGTAATTGGCCAATGTGTATTTTTTGGATAATATAGAAGAACATCAAAATAAAAAAGCTTTTAAGAAAAACAAATAAAAGCATAATGGGCCTTTAACACGTTATTTTTAACCCTCGGGGGTCGATACCCCACAATCCCCTCTATACCCCCAGTGAGAATTTTACATTATTCTGAAGCTCCGCTCTTAATGTGCCGCTTTTCATGGAATGGCACGGAAGTGTCACATTGAAGGTTCCATGATAACCGCCGTATGAACACATCTGCGGATGTTTCTAAATTCAAAAATTTACTATTTCATGTTAAAATGTTGAATTCTGCTTAAGCCGGTGCTAGGGGGCGTAGACGGTAACTTGCACTTTCCAGTACCGTCCATGAACAGGCCTGCAACATTTTCAATTTTGCCGTGTTGGGCTTTCTTTAGGGATTCTGTATTTATCTATTTCTTAAATAGTTGATATTTTTAGGACCTAAAGCCGCATCTACACCTAGTCAAGTTTCTTATATGTTACATTTAGCTAAATAAATGGCTCTTTCAACATATTATCAGGCACATTTTTTTACTGAAATGTCTTACTAAGATTTCCCAGAATTTATACCTTTGCCTATGCTAAGACTATCATATTTCTATAAAATGTGTAAATAAAAAACGGGAAAATAATCCATTTAGCTAAAAACAATGGAGTTAATTAAAGGTGTAATTAAATAATTAAATTTATTCTTTTAAAATAAATGGAAAGTTTGAGAAAAAAATATTTTAAGCTTAATAATTGATACAAATTCTTTATTAGGTGATTTATTTGGTGAAAGTTCTTCACTTACTTATCAAGACCATTTAAATCCGTATTGATTCTACTATAATCCAGGGCACATGTTTTGCGTCTTTTTAATACCTTGATTTTTGTTTACCATTCGCTTTGACAACAATATATAATTTAAAACATAATGAACAATAATTTTATATGACCCCAAAGTGCGGTCGTTTGCCTGATGTTAAAAAATACATATGTACCTGTGTTTAACGCACTTTGGGGTCGAAATTGGACCCCAAAGTGCGTAACGCACTCTGGGGTCGGACCCCAAAGTACGTTACGCACTTTGGGGTTGGACCCCAAAGTGCGTTTGACCCCAAAGTGCGGTGTTACAAAGCCAAATGAGTGTGTACCGTTCCCCTCGGCCCAGGCTATGAAAAGAAAACTGTACTCGAATCTTCTCAAAAACCATTCAGGGGTTTTCAGAATTTTGATATACCGTGGATAACTGATATAATTACGGGTACTCTGCGCCTTATCTGATCAAAATCGGTTGAGTAATAAATAAGTTATGAATAAAAAACATACCTGAATCGGGTGAAAAATCGGCGTGTTCCGTACCCGAAAAGTCACGTGGTATGGCCACATTGATATTGTTAGCGTATATGAAACAGAGCTGAAATATGAAAACCAATTTTTTTCATTCTAATGTGTATCCGCTAAAAGTGCAATTATAAATACATTACTTTAAATTTTATGTAAAAACCATGTAATTACAAAACATTTCAAGGCCTTTTCTTTGATTTAAGGACATTAGTATTACATGTACATTTATATCATTTAAAATGAATAAGAAACATGCAATAAAATATGTTACAGGATAATAAGGAGACTTAAACTGAAGGCGGTAATATCCTTTATATTAGTACGTCAAAAGCATTTAATGTACTTACAAAACATGTCAAACATAACGTCGCAACTTTTCATGCAGCCATATCAAAAGAGAAAGCATGTATTTAGACGAATAATGATACAAAACTTTTATTTAAAGGCTTTATTTTTTAACTTTACTTTCAACAAGGATTGAATACCGTTTAAGACGGTGCTATAGGTGGCGTGTTTCACTGTACTTCATCCCTCAAAAACAGGCTCGATAAAACAGAGTTTGCAATTTTCAACAATTTGTTTTTATTGTCATTACATATCAAAATTAAAAAATACATATATGTAAGCAGTTTTATCATCCAATATTTCTGTTATATAAGGCAAAAAATGGGACAATCAAACGTTTGCAATTTGGTTCGATTTAAGTTGATAATATTTTTTAGCTATAGCTTAGGTCGTATAAATGTATGGATAAAGTTGTAGCAATATGATTTGTCTTAAACCCATACACATCTTTTACCCTGTTGATTGTGTTTAATCGAATGTTACGTGACTTTTGGGAAAGATACTGAATTAAGAATTGCTAAGATGTAAATTTGTGATGCTTCAATTTCGCTTTCACAGGGAAAAGTTTGATTTATTTAGTCCCGAGATAGATGTATTCCAGTATGTTGGTTGGACACCTACAGGACATAGTCTGGTAATATTTATGATTATCAATATTTTATTATCTTCAAATAATACTTTGATAATTTTTTGTTACAATTTCTAAATATAGTTGTTAATAAGGGAAGTGTTTTGCAGATCACGATCCATAATATGAGTAGGAATTAATGACTGTTGTTTTGCTTACTCAGTGCCTGGAATAGTTTTGCCAGCATTGTATAAAACTGTAATTTTTAAATATCATAGAGGAAAACAGAATCCCTGAAGAACGCCTAAATTGCAAAACTGAACGTGATGCAGGCTCGATTCGATTGAGCGGTAGCGGTGAGTGCAAGCTATCGTATTCCTCACATGTATAGAGGCTGAGGTCGGTGATTACGACATAATTTTATTGTTTACTTTATACCACATGACGCCTTATTAATTCAATCTTAAAGAATGGTGAAATATCACTTTTACATATAATAAATTGTCAGTCCTGTATTAATACTGGTGATTCTATCAATAGAACACACAAATGGTGTTCTATATTTCAAACAAAAATATTACTAGTATGTCTGACACAATATGGAGATAAAAAACAGACCACACGTGATTATGTTAATTTTTCAGGTGTGTATACAATATAATGATATATACATACGCCGACATCCTACACGTGGTAGTTTTGATAAATATACATTTGATGGAACCGAAAATATTGACCATATATATAATGGCGTTCCGGACTGGGTCTATGAAGGTATGTATAAATGTGCTCATTGCTATTGTTTTAATGTAATATCAAGTCATAGTAAGTTACTGGGTGTGTCTTTATTGACTTTTTATTGACTGCTTTGTCTCCCTCATTTAACATTGCCCATATATGTATAGTAATATAGATTCGTAAGATCTTCTTCAATAATTTAATAAATTATAGATTGTCATTAAATAAAACATATAGTATATATTAATTCCTAAATTAAATTCCAATTAAAATCGGACTCAATGCCAACATTTCTCGTGCGATTTCAGTCAATCTCTCACAGACTGAATGTCATCAAGTACCCGGCTCATGTTTCGAGATTATGTTTTAAAATTACATATGTATTTTCACTTTTTGAGATTTTGGCAGATTATCTGGTTCTGAAACATTTTTGGTCTCTTATTTTAGTATACATTAATATTTAATATTATATTTCATCGCTCAGAGGAGATTCTTAGCTCAGACAATGCCCTGTGGTTCTCCCCGGAAGGAAGTTACCTTCTATATGCATCATTTGATGACAGGGGAGTGAATACCTTCGATATAACTGACTATGGTGACATGACAGAACGTTATGTCAGCACCAAGTATGTGGCATATCCCAAACCTGATACCGAAAATCCAAAGGTTCGACTGAAAATTCTTGATCTTAAGAGAAACAGAACATTAGAAATTGATCCTCCGGAGCATTTAAGGAACAGGTGAGAATCCGCTCTTTATCCTTATATAGATATGTATAACACTTAATTGTATCATATAAAGAATCTGTGATAAATTAAGATTAAATATGTTTCATATAATCTTAATCATAATTATAATGTACATTTGATAAAGTGATCTAAGCAGTGACTCACCTAAGCTGAGATAAATGCTTTTTAACACATATTCTTGCGCTAAGTTTAAACGTCTACAAAATTAAGAATAGCGTCTTATCTTCATAGAATTTGAGCCGCGTCACGACAAAACCAACATAATGGGTTTGCGACCAGCATGGATCCAGACTAGCCTGCGCATCCGCGCAGTCTGATCAGGATCCATGCTGTTCGCTTACAAACCCTATTACAAGTAGAGAAACTGATAGCGAACAACATGGATCCTGATCAGACTGCGCGGATGCGCAGGCTGGTCTGGATCCATGCTGGTCGCAAACGCACAATGTTGGTTTTGTCATGACGCGGCTCACTCTTCACATGATTCCCCTATCAAACAAATAGATCGACCAAGTGCATTATAACACGATATATGTACAGTATGAAAAAAAAACTCCTACTTAAACGTCACATGGTGTCATATATGACGTTAATAAACCAAATGACGTCAGATCAGGAAAATTATTAATACGCGGGATGAAGTTCAGCAACTCTCTTTTTTATTAGCATTTTAAAATAGAAAAAGATACATTTTCCTCTATTATAGTATAATAATGCTCTGTTTATCGGCCTTCGTGATTATATTCCTGCGTATTTGAACTCGAAACGTGCATTATTCTACAACATTGTCTTCAACATTGATACATATATTTCCTAATTACAACTTTTACTTAATAATAACATTATATTTTCTATACTTATTAAATTTGAAATTTCAAGGATACTGTTTTTTTGTGTGTTTTTTAAAGATATTAACTGATATTCGTTTTTCAGAGATCATTACTTCACAACGGTGTCTTGGCAGGACGAAACCCATGTTCTTGTTTCTTGGATGAACAGAGCTCAGAATCTTTCAATACTTTCCATTTGTAATGCCATCAACGGTAGCTGTGTTCAGGTAACACATCAATTTAATATTTGATTTCGTCGTGTATGATATATAAATGTCAATTATTAATTTTCAGAATGCTATATGTTCCCTTTACAGTATATTGAAGTGTCTGCTGCAAAGAAATCGTTGTTTGAATTTTAAAAAGGAATGCTTTGAAAATGCTTGAATGTATGAAATAAATATGGTAGTAAATTGCCTTTTAAGTGAATGGTGAATGCATGAACTCATTGTTTAACAGACAAAACCCTTCTTGAAATGACCGAACAATAATTTTATACCGGTACATTTTATTTTGTTAACATACAATATTCATATGTGATGAATAACAGAGACATTCTGTGTCACAACTCTCTTGAAAATAGACCATCATAAAACCAATATAATTTTACCGCTTATGTAGTTTATGAAAATATTTCTTAAAAAAATAGCTTTAAACCCTTTAAGTATTGTTGAAACAAAGTTTATTTTGGAAACGCTGTTTTATCTCATCCAAAATAAAGCATTTCATTAATAACGAAATGTTCCTACTTTTCTATGGTATTTGATGGAGCTTATTAGGGAGTTGAAACATGCCAGATCTTTTGTACAATAAAATTCGACAGCAAAACGTCTTCATCACAGGTAAAAAGGTTGCAAATGATACCGTCATATAGATAACAACATTATATGACATGGTAGTCATTTATCAAACAAATTGCTTTAACAATGTCGACTGGCTTCGAAATCGAGATAGAGAAATTCTGAAACTAATTATTATTTTGGGTACAATATCTAAAAACATACGTTCTAATGAACTGTCTTTCAGTTTATATCCACTTTATTTTAATGAAAATTAAATAATAAAAAACAACATTTTTACTACACAATATACCTAAGCCCGTGTTTCAATAATATGATCTTTGTTTGATTTAACTGATAACTAATTTTGATAAAATACTGAATAAGTGATATTAATACTGTAACACATGTATATATAATTTACCAAAGTAAAAAGCTTTTATATCCTATTATTTTACTTTTCAAACTATAAGTTAGTAATCTTAAATTTCAAATGTCATGTGACACGCTTGTCCTTTTAATACATTATCTGAAGACCCTTTGTGAAAAGCAAAATGTTAAAGTGTTCTAGACTAATTCTGTTTCGGATTGACTTGAATGCATTATATGAAGAGACAATATATCAAATCCATGCAGCTTTTTCTCATTTTCCAATTAGTTTCAGCGGTTCTTAAACCCGAGTATTGCCGTGAAGTTGAAACCTACCAGACAGATTGACGTCCTTTAAGTGACACAAATTCGGACGTGACAAGAAATCGGATAATATAAGACTCACTGTCACTATCTTCTAAGTGTGTGTTGTAATTAAATATATACACACAGTCTTTGCCATCTGTAAAGCTTTAATTAGTTTGCTTGAAGCAAAGTCGTTTGTCTCTGTAAATACCGGATGTGCGAGATGCTTGCAATGCGAATGATATATTTTACAACCTTTTGATTTGATTTAAAAGCTTTTCCCTGTGTTTTTTGTTACCGAGAGTGACAATTTACATATTATTTTTTATTTCAGAATTACAGAATTGAGGGTGACGGTGGCTGGGTTGACATGGTAACTAATGTTTTTTACAACACTTTTAATATTCCTGTCTTTTCATTGTTGCATCATTTCTGTTATGTATTTTCATTTAAATATCTCAATATCTCAGCGAAACGTCAAAATACTTACATTTGCAAGCATTAAATCAGTCCGAATATTAAAAATAAGAGCAGAAGTTGTATTTTGTCCGACAAATCTGTTTTTGTAAATGTCATTTTATACGCTAAATCTATGACTTGTAACATTTAATTTTCGACTTAATTAAACCACAATTTACACTATCCATTTGTGTTGTTTTTCGAATTTCCTCTAATATACACTTTTATCATATGCGACTGTTATGACACTTATAGGAATATTTATATTACTCTCCGTTTTTGTGTCCTGTCTGGCTCCTTGCTGGTTCGTCCGGTGTTGCTGGGTTGTGTTGGGGGATGCGACCATTATTGAATGCTGCCCTTCCTTGTTAATTTTTGTTTTCATATTTGACAATTTTAATCCAGCGCATTTCTAAATATGACCTAAGGCTATACAATATATGCTGCTGTCTCCCAATTCCTTACTTTTAAAAATAAAAACAGTATCAAATTTGTTAATAATATTGTTTGTACAGTATTACTTTATTTTAGGTTAAAAGTTAGTTGTTTGCGTAATTTCCATATATCTTTGTCACTCAATAATACTTCCTACTAAATGTTAATACACCCAAAATTGTATGTTTATATATAATGCATGCTTATTGTTTTAAATGACCCACTTGTATTGGAATGTGTACTAAAGACATTTTAAATAAAAATTTGGATAAAACATGTGCTATCATAAAATGCGCAAGTCTTAGAGTATATAAAATTAATTTGGTATTTAGTTACAATATTGTTTCTCCACTCAAAAGTTATTTGTAAATCTGTTCAAGTTCATATTGATGTTTTTACTAATTTAAAAGTAATTGTCCTATAAAACTGCTTAAAAAATAGTTTATGAATAAAAAGGATCTGATTTGAACATATTTTATGGAAAAAAAAATGGACAAGAAGCAGCTTATAATAGTTGTTCAGTAACTCTCATAATTGTGCAATATCAGTTATATATCACACAATCATATCAACCAAAATGTTGTAGATGTGTTCACAAAATTTGTATTATTTTGTTTTCAGTATCGTCCAGCAATATTCAAACCTGACGGAACGCGATATTTTCTGCTTTTGCCACACAAAGATGGATCTGCTGGTAGTTTTCAACATATCGCGATGATCGATCCATCTTACGATATATCGGTAAGTATTTTTTTTTAAGTTCTTACAATTTCAAGTGATATGAAAACCTGAAGTAAGTTGAATTTAGGATTTTTTGTGAAAGAGGAAATGACAGATATCCCAGAGTCTATCCTATCCAAAACGTGATGTAATAACTCGAGTAACAATTACATTGTTCGATGTATTAGCTCGAGTTACCATTACATTGTTTGATGTATAAGCTCGAGTTACCAAAACATTGTTTGATGTATAAGCTCGAGTTACCATTACATTGTTTGATGTATAAGCTCGAGTTACCATTACATTGTTTGATGTATTAGCTCGAGTTACCACTACATTGTTTGATGTATCAGCTCGAGTTACCATTACATTGTTTGATGTATAAGCTCGAGTTACCATTACATTGTTTGATGTATTACCTCGAGTTACCATTACAGTGTTTGATGTATTAGCTCGAGTTAAAATTTCAGTGTTTGATGTATTAACTCGAGTTACCATTACAGTGATTGATGTATAAGGTCCAGTTACCATTACAGCGTTTGATGTATAAGTTTGAGTTACCATTACAGCGTTTGATGTATCAGCTCGAGTAACCATTACATTGTTTGATGTATTAGCTCGAGTTATCATTACAGTGTTTGATGTATTAGCTCGAGTTAAAAGTTCAGTGTTTATTGTATCAGCTCGAGTTACCATTACAGTGTTTGATGTATTAGCTCGAGTTACAATTTCAGTGTTTGATGTATAAACTCGATTACAGTGATTGATGTTTAAACTCGAGTTACCATTACATTGTTTGATGTATCAGCTCGAGTTACCATTACATTGTTTGATGTATCAGCTCGAGTTACCATTACATTGTTTGATGTATCAGCTCGAGTTACCATTACATTATTTGATGTATCAGCTCTAGTTACCATTATAGTGTTTATTGTATCAGCTCGAGTTACCATTACATTGTTTGATGTATTAGCTCGAGTTACCATTACATTGTTTGATGTTTTAGCTCGAGTTAACATTACATTGTTTGATATATTAGCTCGAGTTACCCGTACACTGTTGATGTTTAAGCTCGAGTTACCATTTCATTGTTTGATGTTTTAGCTCGAGTTCCCATTACATTGTTTTTTGTATTAGCTCGAGTCACCATTACATTGTTTGATGTATTAGCTCGAGTTAACATTACATTGTTTGATGTATAAGCTCGAGTTACCACTACATTGTTTGATGTATTAGCTCGAGTTACCCTTACACTGTTGATGTTTTAGCTCGAGTTCCTATTACATTGTTTGATGTATTAGCTCGAGTCACCATTACATTGTTTGATATATAAGCTCGAGTTACCCGTACACTGTTGATGTTTTAGCTCGAGTTACCATTACAGTGTTTGATGTATTAGCTCGAGTCACCATTTCATTGTTTGATGTATTAGCTCGAGTTCCCATTACATTGTTTGATGTATAAGCTCGAGTCACCATTACATTGTTTGATGTATTAGCTCGAGTTAACATTACATTGTTTTATATATTAGCTCGAGTTCCCATTACATTGTTTGATGTATTAGCTCGAGTTAACATTACATTGTTTGATGTTTTAGCTCGAGTTCCCATTACATTGTTTGATGTATTAGCTCGAGTCACCATTACATTGTTTGATGTTTTAGCTCGAGTTCCCATTACATTGTTTGATGTATTAGCTCGAGTTACCATTACATTGTTTGATATATTAGCTCGAGTTAACATTACATTGTTTGATATTTTTAGCTCGAGTTTCCATTACATTGTTTGATGTATTAGCTCGAGTTAACATTACATTGTTTGAAGTACTAGCTCGAGTTAACATTACATTGTTTGATATTTTTAGCTCGAGTTTCCATTACATTGTTTGATGTATTAGCTCGAGTTACCATTACATTGTTTGATGTATTAGCTCGAGTTACCATTACATTGTTTGATGTATTAGCTCGAGTTACCATTACATTGTTTGATGTATCAGCTCGAGTTACCATTACATTGTTTGATGTATCAGCTCGAGTTACCATTACATTATTTGATGTATCAGCTCTAGTTACCATTATAGTGTTTATTGTATCAGCTCGAGTTACCATTACATTGTTTGATGTATTAGCTCGAGTTACCATTACATTGTTTGATGTTTTAGCTCGAGTTAACATTACATTGTTTGATATATTAGCTCGCGTTACCCGTACACTGTTGATGTTTAAGCTCGAGTTACCATTTCATTGTTTGATGTTTTAGCTCGAGTTCCCATTACATTGTTTTTTGTATTAGCTCGAGTCACCATTACATTGTTTGATGTATTAGCTCGAGTTAACATTACATTGTTTGATGTATAAGCTCGAGTTACCACTACATTGTTTGATGTATTAGCTCGAGTTACCCTTACACTGTTGATGTTTTAGCTCGAGTTCCTATTACATTGTTTGATGTATTAGCTCGAGTCACCATTACATTGTTTGATATATAAGCTCGAGTTACCCGTACACTGTTGATGTTTTAGCTCGAGTTACCATTACAGTGTTTGATGTATTAGCTCGAGTCACCATTTCATTGTTTGATGTATTAGCTCGAGTTCCCATTACATTGTTTGATGTATAAGATCGAGTCACCATTACATTGTTTGATGTATTAGCTCGAGTTAACATTACATTGTTTTATATATTAGCTCGAGTTCCCATTACATTGTTTGATGTATTAGCTTGAGTTAACATTACATTGTTTGATGTTTTAGCTCGAGTTCCCATTACATTGTTTGATGTATTAGCTCGAGTCACCATTACATTGTTTGATGTTTTAGCTCGAGTTCCCATTACATTGTTTGATGTATTAGCTCGAGTTACCATTACATTGTTTGATATATTAGCTCGAGTTAACATTACATTGTTTGATATTTTTAGCTCGAGTTTCCATTACATTGTTTGATGTATTAGCTCGAGTTAACATTACATTGTTTGAAGTACTAGCTCGAGTTAACATTACATTGTTTGATATTTTTAGCTCGAGTTTCCATTACATTGTTTGATGTATTAGCTCGAGTTACCATTACATTGTTTGATGTATTAGCTCGAGTTACCATTACATTGTTTGATGTATTAGCTCGAGTTACCATTACATTGTTTGATGTATCAGCTCGAGTTACCATTACATTGTTTGATGTATCAGCTCGAGTTACCATTACAGTGTTTGATGTATCAGCTCGAGTTACCATTACAGTGTTTGATGTATCAGCTCGAGTTACCATTACATTGTTTGATGTATTAGCTCGAGTTACCATTACATTGTTTGATGTATAAGCTCGAGTTACCATTACATTGTTTGATGTATTAGCTCGAGTTAACATTACATTGTTTTATATATTAGCTCGAGTTCCCATTACATTGTTTGATGTATTAGCTTGAGTTAACATTACATTGTTTGATGTTTTAGCTCGAGTTCCCATTACATTGTTTGATGTATTAGCTCGAGTCACCATTACATTGTTTGATGTTTTAGCTCGAGTTCCCATTACATTGTTTGATGTATTAGCTCGAGTTACCATTACATTGTTTGATATATTAGCTCGAGTTAACATTACATTGTTTGATATTTTTAGCTCGAGTTTCCATTACATTGTTTGATGTATTAGCTCGAGTTAACATTACATTGTTTGAAGTACTAGCTCGAGTTAACATTACATTGTTTGATATTTTTAGCTCGAGTTTCCATTACATTGTTTGATGTATTAGCTCGAGTTACCATTACATTGTTTGATGTATTAGCTCGAGTTACAATTACGTTGTTTGGTGTATTAGCTTGAATTACCATTACAGTGTTTGATGAATCAGCTCGAGTTACCATTACAGTGTTTGTTGAATTTGCTCAAGTTACCATTACATTGTTTGATGTATCAGCTGGAGTTACCATTACATTGTTTGATGTTTACCATTACATTGTTTGATGTATTAGCTCGAGTTACCATTACGTTGTTTGATGTATAACCTCGAGTCACCATTACATTAATTGATGTATTAGCTCGAGTTACCATTACATTATTTGATGTATCAGCTCTAGTTACCATTATAGTGTTTTTATTGTATCAGCTCGAGTTACCATTACATTGTTTGATGTATTAGCTCGAGTTACCATTACATTGTTTGATGTTTTAGCTCGAGTTAACATTACATTGTTTGATATTATTAGCTCGCGTTACCCGTACACTGTTGATGTTTAAGCTCGAGTTACCATTTCATTGTTTGATGTTTTAGCTCGAGTTCCCATTACATTGTTTTTTGTATTAGCTCGAGTCACCATTACATTGTTTGATGTATTAGCTCGAGTTAACATTACATTGTTTGATGTATAAGCTCGAGTTACCACTACATTGTTTGATGTATTAGCTCGAGTTACCCTTACACTGTTTTGATGTTTTAGCTCGAGTTCCTATTACATTGTTTGATGTATTAGCTCGAGTCACCATTACATTGTTTGATATATAAGCTCGAGTTACCCGTACACTGTTGATGTTTTAGCTCGAGTTTCCATTACAGTGTTTGATGTATTAGCTCGAGTCACCATTTCATTGTTTGATGTATTAGCTCGAGTTCCCATTACATTGTTTGATGTATAAGATCGAGTCACCATTACATTGTTTGATGTATTAGCTCGAGTTAACATTACATTGTTTTATATATTAGCTCGAGTTCCCATTACATTGTTTGATGTATTAGCTTGAGTTAACATTACATTGTTTGATGTTTTAGCTCGAGTTCCCATTACATTGTTTGATGTATTAGCTCGAGTCACCATTACATTGTTTGATGTTTTAGCTCGAGTTCCCATTACATTGTTTGATGTATTAGCTCGAGTTACCATTACATTGTTTGATATATTAGCTCGAGTTAACATTACATTGTTTGATATTTTTAGCTCGAGTTTCCATTACATTGTTTGATGTATTAGCTCGAGTTAACATTACATTGTTTGAAGTACTAGCTCGAGTTAACATTACATTGTTTGATATTTTTAGCTCGAGTTTCCATTACATTGTTTGATGTATTAGCTCGAGTTACCATTACATTGTTTGATGTATTAGCTCGAGTTACCATTACATTGTTTGATGTATCAGCTCGAGTTACCATTACAGTGTTTGATGTATTAGCTCGAGTTACCATTACATTGTTTGATGTATTAGCTCGAGTTACCATTACATTGTTTGATGTATTAGCTCGAGTTACCATTACATTGTTTGATGTATTAGCTCGAGTTACCATTACATTGTTTGATGTATTAGCTCGAGTTACCATTACATTGTTTGATGTATTAGCTCGAGTTACCACTACATTGTTTGATGTATTAGCTCGAGTTAACACTACATTGTTTGATGTATTAGCTATAATACATCAAGCAATGTAATGGTAACATTGTTTTATGTATTAGCAAGTTACCATTACATTGTTTGATGTATTAGCTCGAGTTACCATTACATTGTTTTATGTATTAGCGAGTTACCATTACATTGTTTGATGTATTAGCTCGAGTTACCATTACATTGTTTTATGTATTAGCGAGTTACCATTACATTGTTTGATGTATTAGCTCGAGTTACCATTACATTGTTTTATGTATTAGCCAGTTACCATTACATTGTTTGATGTATTAGCTCGAGTTACCATTACATTGTTTTATGTATTAGCAAGTTACCATTACATTGTTTGGCATTAAACGGATCAATGTTATAACCTTAATTTCAACATGATAAAAAGATATTATTTGAATTTAATTCAAAAGAATTACTATGTTTTACATTGCCCGGTTACATATAGCTACAAAAAGATACTTTTGATAAATTATAAACAGTAAACTAAATATATTACATGAACATGAAATGAATTGCTTTGTAAAGCTTTACTTCTTTAACGTACATTTCGTTTCGTTTTAAAATTACTTGTTCATTTATTTTTATAAGAACGATGTCAGGCTGCAGTTTAGTATGTTTATAATAATAGTAGTTGGAGCAGTGAAACTAATAAATTCATTTAACTTCACTTGTACATATTGACTTACACCTCAGATTATTGGCATTTCAAAATGTGTGTCTCTTTTTAATTACGATTTTCCTGAGAAACTTCCAAACTTGAAACTTGTTTTTAAATAATTAATTTCAAAGAACAAAACTTTCTCTCGATTTTGGTATAACTATAAATTTCATTTACAATCTAAAAAAAACAAAACAAAAACTAAGTTCAACAAATTAATTGTTCAGTTAAAGTGAGAATAGATACAATAGTTATAGTTTCTATGCAACAAACGGAAATCAATATAATGAACATATAATCTGAATGCGGATTACGATAGCTCCACATATGTTTTATCACCAACCAGTACTTAGATATGTTGATGTTTATAAAGGGAAAAAATCAACAACGTTTAACTTTATTTGATATTCAGATTTATTACCAAAACTCTTATTATTTACTTGTGGTTTATTTTTTTTCTTCAAGAAAAAGACGGGTGATGGCTCCAAAGTATTTCTCACAATTGGTAGATGGGATGTGGTGGATATTGTTGGTTATGACGACGATTTAAATTTAATGTAAGCATTTGAAACGGATTGTGTCATACCTAATTAGTATTGTCAAATAATAACCATTGATGAAAACTCAAACTTACGGGTTAAAAATATTTGACGTTTAGTTTAAATTAAATTTATTGTACTTAGCAAACTCATAGCAAATATATACTTTTACAAATTCCTTTGGTGAATTTTCGGCTGCATATTTTAATATATGAATAGTGCATGTTATGATTTATTTTATAACAATATTTTACACAGGTAAATATGTAGCACATGTTAAACGTATGTGACTCACATGTTTTACATATAGTAGAAACATATGGTTTCTCCAAGAAAAGTACCTCATATGTTTTTCATATGGATACACATTAATAGCATATGTTTTTCAAAAAGAGGACACTGGATGTTACATTTATGGTATAGACTTATGTTTTTCACATATTGATTCACATGAATCATGTTCTTCAATGCAAATGGTAAAATTGTGTTTGCTGGAACTTGATATTAACAAGTGTTAAGAGTTCAACTCTACACGTAAGTGAAAATATATATGTGTATATAATTATGCTTGTAAAACAATTTTCAAACATTGAAGAATATGTAAAATATGTACTGCAAATATTTGTACATATTATTTGTAATAATTAAAATATATGCATTCATTTCTTATTGAATAATTTGATCAGACTTTATAGAAAATAAACTTTTTATTACCTCCCTTTATTTATAAAATTATTATTTGTAAAATTCGGTATTATTTTTTATAAATAATGCGTTTTGGAACTTACAAAATTGATAAATCTTAATTTGAGCTTCATATTTATGATATGATGGTCATTCCCTACGGGTCACTTCATCTTGGGTTCTTGGTTGTTAAAATTTCACTAAATAAATAAACACTAACATATACAAAGGGAGAAAAAATCATGAATAAAAATGAATGGCAGACTATTCTCTCCATAACCATAAGTTGCACATTGATGCATGAACCAAGAATCTTTTTATGTACAATCATTTAGAATCTAATAGAGACTGAAAGCTTGCAGAAAAAAAATGATACATAAATTTTTCATATAAAAACACATGAAAATTCACATATATTCAACATATGAAAACTTATTCATATGAAAAACATGTGATAACCATGAGTTTAACATATGTTTGTTGACACATGTTTTCATATGGTCCTGTTTACATATGTTTATCTTACATATGAAAAACACCTGTTCTTAAACACATGTTTTTCAATACACATGAAACACATATGTTTAACATATGGAAAACATATGGGGTACCAAACATACAGCAAATATGTGTTGCATATTTACCTGTGATATTGCATTCAATTTCTATAGAGGTTTGTGAATTAAGACTGACCTAATATTGATGAGTAAAATAAATAAATATCGGCCGTTTTCATATTTGATATTACAATTCATTATTAAACTTGCAGATACTTCATTGCAACAAAACAGGGCGATCCCCGAGAAAAACATTTATATAAGTAAGTTTTTTTTTCGTAAATAAAATACAAAAATGTACAAACATTTAATTTGATTGTTGTATCCTTAATAAATGAATAGATAAATACTGTATAATTTAGATTAACGAATAATATGAAAAACTATTATACAATTGCTTGTGTTACAAAAACATTTTATAACGAATCAAATCCAAACGAGAAAAAGAAAAAAAAAAGTCGGGTAATTTGTCATGCGGATGGAACAAAATTCCAGTTAATAAATACGTATACAAGTTTAACGTTTCCCATTTGACAAACATGCCGGTTTATTGAAATTCCCCAAAGAGACAATGGCGGACGGACGATCAAATGTTTGCTTGGTCGCTGAAGTTCTTTCTTTGTATTTGATCCCTTATGGTATAAGCAAAATATATCTGCAAATATTTCATGATTTTCATACGTTTGGTATATTCTTTTCATTTTCCAGAACAACGACTCTTAAGGACCACGAAGATTATAGAAGGGTCACGTGCGTATCATGTGATTTTGATGAAGGCTGTCAATATGTTGAAGCCAGTTTTACGCCGACGGGGAAATATTACATACTGGCTTGCAAAGGTCCTGCCGTACCATCATATCATTTGTTTTCTGTGGATGACGGATATGGTACGTTGGTTTTCGTTGTCTATTATCATGTTTAGACAGACAAATCACCGCTTGTATGCAAAACTAACAATTCTTATCTCGTGATTTTTGATATCACCCTGTCCTTACCTAATATCTGCTTACTTGACAGTCTGAGGGTACATAACCTTACGTATATATTTGAGTAATGACATTGTGTTTTATAACAGTTTTTTTAGACAAATACATTGACTTCCCTTTGTCTTCGCCATTATCAAAATGAGTCATTATATTTATATAATCAATATTGTAGTACTTTCTCAGACAACAAATGGTATTAAACCGTCTCGTTCATCTAACCGCTTCTTTTTGCATAATGCCACGGTGAGAGTTATTAAGGTGTTTGAGAAAACTTTTGATGTCAAGTTTTTTTTTATCGTATGGCGTTAAGAATTTTGATAATTTGTGAATGAAACCCGTAGGGTTTTTTTTGTTAATTGTAAAATTGTGTTTTTACCTTTTTTTTCAATTTCTTCACCGAACTGCCTTGATACAATTTTATGAAATCCATGCAGATTTGTACTCTTTTGTACTCTTTTGTCTAGTATAAAAATATCGCGCTGTGTACAATTATAATATCTCAAAGTCTGTGCGTATAATTTTTAGGTATCTGAAAGATAGGTCTACAATTTACTAATTATGTAATAGTTATAGTATATGAAACGAGTTAGTTACGAGGGTATAACACTGGCTGGGGCGACATCAAGGGGTGTTTCTGCTAAAAAATGGCGAGGCCGTTAGGCCGAGACATTTTTTTGCAGAAACATCCCGAGATGTCGCCCCAGCCAGTGTTATACCCCCGTAACTTACGAGTTTCATATACTATAACTGTTTTATCGCAATGGCATAATGTTTTCTTTTTTGTATAGAAACAAATAAATAAATTAATCGTTAGCTACATTACAGTTATTTATCATAAGGCAGTTTTTCAAGTTGTTTTCGCTGCCGCAAAAAAATATACAAAAGACATCCAATATAAGAGGCGGATTGTATACTGTTACCAAGATTGATTTAAGATTAAAGACCTTTTTTCATTTCATTAATTATCTTTGTTTATATTTTTCATTGTATTTATATATTTATTTTATTTTATTTTATTGATTTCATTTTTTATTATCTTATGGGTTTTTTTTTGCTACTGGGAATGGTCGTTACCACTGCCCCATTGGAGCCTCTATGAAAAAACTGTATTGATATATACAAGGTGCGAAAAAAACTAGACCGATATATAACAGTACAGTTTTTTTCCTATATGAATCAATGAAAAAACTGTACTGTTATATATCAATACAGTTTTGAAATGCTCATTGAAGTGTACTGAGCATAATGGGTTGGAAAGAACAAAGGAAAAGCTCACAGCCATGCGATAATTAATGTTATCGCATGGCTGTGAGCTTTTCCTTTGTTCTTTCCAACCCATTATACTCAGTACACTTCAATGAGCATTTCAAAACTGTATTGATATATAACAGTACAGTTTTTTCATTGATTCATATAGGAAAAAAACTCGACTGTTATATATCGGTCGAGTTTTTTTCGCACCTTGTATATATCAATACAGTTTTTTCATAGAGGCTCCAATTGCGCAGTGGTAACGACCATTCCCAGTAGCAAAAAAAAAAACATAAAATAATAATAAAAAAAATGAAATCAATAAAATAAATATATAAATACAATGAAAAATATAAACAAAGATAATTAATGAAATGAAAAAAGGTCTTTAATGTTAAATCAATCTTGGTAACAGTATACAATCCGCCTCTTATATTGGATGTCTTTTGTATATTTTTTTGCGGCAGCGAAAACAACTTGAAAAACTGCCTTATGATAAATAACTGTAATGTAGCTAACGATTAATTAATTTATTTGTTTCTACACAAAAAAGAAAACATTATGCCATTGCGATAAAACAGTTATAGTATATGAAACTCGTTAGTTACGGGGGTATAACACTGGCTGGGGCGACATCTCGGGATGTTTCTGAAAAAAAAATGTCTTGGCCTAAATTTTTTTAGCAGAAACACCCCTTGATGTCGCCCCAGCCAGTGTTATACCCTCGTAACTAACTCGTTTCATATACTATAACTATTACTTATGTAACATTGATCAAGTGACAATTCATTATTATTTCATCTACAAAAGGTAAAATTTTAAGATTATTGTAGCAGAAGTACAAAGTTCGGGGATTCGAACTTTGTTGACTAGCTGGCGGCGTGTGGTGTCTCATCATGATCTCACCTGTCCGCTGTTCCGTCAGTGAATATTTTTATTTTTTTCCTAAAAAATGACGAATGTTGTGTCCAACTTGAAAGATAAATAACCCCATTTTAGAATATTAAGCAGGATAAGAATTAGAGAACGTTCAGCTTAGAATTTTATTACCCGTATGTCAAAATCATTTTAAATTTTTAAAATAAATCACAAACAAACAACTATTCAACATAACAATTCATTTCGTCGGTCATTTACATATATATATACAACTGTATATATATTTGATACGCCTGTTTGAAAAAAGGGTCGTATTATAGTTTTACCCCCGGCGGGCGGGCGGGCGACGTCCAATTTTTGTCCGGAGCATATCTCCTACACCCATAGGGGAATTTTGATGAAACTTCATAGAACTGTTCACCAATATCAGAAGCCGTGTCGCGCGCATGAACCAGGGCCTCTAGGTCAAAGTTCAAAGTCACACTTAGAGATCATAGAAAAATGCTTGTTTGGAGCAAAACTTCTTTATGCATAAAGGGATTTTAATATAACTTGACACAAATGTTCACTATTGCAAGGTCACACATAGGGGTCAAAGTTCAGATGAAAAATTTGAAAATGTGTATTTTGACCATTTAGTCATCATTTATGGAGGGATTGAAACACAAAAGGTCATTATCATGACATGTAATTTAAAAAGTCACTAGAGATGATAATATATCCTGATATTGCCCAGAGCATATTGCCTATATGCAGATCTGTAATGCTCACAATTCTGTCAAAAGCTTCTGTGACGGGCGTATATTGCGACAATGTTGCCCTTGTTTAACTTAAGAATCTGTCAAATTATAAAAGTTGATAAGATGTTTTAATTCGTTTTTTGTTGTTTATATTTCAGTAATCACATTAGAAGATAATGCTGATTTGCGGGAAAAACTTTCGGGTGTAAGCATGCCGATTACAGAGTATGTTAAGATTCCGATCGACGAAGAAGCCACTGATTGTATGTAGTCGTGTTTTATAATGTTACAATTGTCAATAAAATGTTTAATATCTATATTAACATTTATTAAACGTAACGATTGATTTATACAGAATTTATTTTGTTCGATTGTGTAGGAAGCTATAACCTTATAGACACACTTTCGAGAATCCGTTCCTGGAAGTAATCAGTGTAAAGTTTCTTGCTCAAGGAAACAACGACTTGCCCCTGACGGGGTTTGAACCCATGCGGCTAGCGATCATGAGATTACTAGTCTGACGCTTAACCACTCGGCCATGCCGCCATTTAAACGTAACGATTGAACTTCTAGCATTTGATTCACTTGCTTTTACAATATATATTATCATTGGATGAAGTCTTATCAATTTTGCCTCGTTTTCATTTCCCAAGTCAATCTTCAATTTTGTACTTTACACAGCCTTGTAACACCGCACTTTGGGGTCAAACGCACTTTGGGGTCCGACCCCAGAGTGCGTTACGCACTTTTGGGTCCAATTTTAACCCCAAAGTGCGTTAAACAGGTACATATGCATTTTTTAACATCAGGCAAACGACCGCACTTTGGGGTCATAGAAAATTAATGTTCATTATGTTTAAAATAATATATTGTAGTCAAAGTCAATGGTAAACAAAAAATCAAGGTATTAAATAGACACAAACATGTGCCCTGAATTATAGTAGAATCAATAGGGATTTAAATGATCTTGATTAGTAAGTGAAGAACTTTCACCAAATAAATCACCAAATAAAGAATTTGTATCAATTATTAAGCTTAAAATATTTTTTCTCAAGTTTTCCATTTATTTCAAAAGAATGTACACATTTCATTAACTCCATTGTTTTTAGCTAAATGCATTATTTCCCGTTTTTTATTTACACATTTTATAGAAATATGATAGTCTTAGCATAGACAAAGGTATAAATTCTGGGAAATCTTAGTAAGACATTTCAGTAAAAAATGTGCCTGATAATATGTTGAAAGAGCCATTTATTTAGCTAAATGTGACATATAAGAAACTTGACTAAGTGTAGATGCGGCTTTAAGTAGTAGTCAGTACAGGCGATACTAAAGATATCAACTATTTAAGTAGTCGCACATTAAGAGCGGAGCTTCAGAATAATGTAAAATTCTCACTGGGGTATAGAGGGGATTGTGGGGTATCGATCCCCCCGAGGGTTAAAAATAACGTTTTAAAGGCCCATTATGCTTTTATTTGTTTTTCTTAAAAGCTTTTTCATTTTGATGTTCTTCTATATTATCAAAAAAAAAAACAACAACACATTGGCCAATTACCTGAACCATCTTTTTCATTTGTTGCTCTTTGGCAATGATGAGTACAGTTATAGTGAATTAGTATTTTATAGGGAAGTCAAATACTACAGTGTTTTGACTTCTTTTATGACAAATAATTTCACATTTATCGCTACTTTATTCATGTAACAAGCATCTTACATTTCTCAGATACCATTATTTTAACATTTTTCGTACATATTTTTGTTTTTTTGTCGTACATATTTTTTTTAAATTTTGAATACTTACATTTTTTAGTTTTGCATACATATTCTTTTTTAGTTTGCATACATATTTTATTTTAGTTTTGCATACATATTCTTTTTTAGTTTGCATACATGTTTTATTATAGTTTTTTTTTGTACTTATTTTATTTTGTTTTTTCGTACATATTTTTACATGACGCAATTTGCAAAGTAGAGGTTGGATAATTACACCATTTGTAAAACACCATTTTTAAACACTTCCCCATCTGTAAATTACAGTACCTCATTTGCAAATGCCATTTGGAAATATCAATATTTTCATTTTTGGAGGTATCAAAAAAAAAACAACACTTTTTAGTATATATATAAATATATAGTCCGCGGTAATCCCAAAGAATGGTTCTGCATATGGTCTCGACGTGGTTAACATTTGTCACAAGGTGCCTTAAAATCCTTCATGGGGTTTCGGAGATAAGGAGCGGACATGGAACCCAAGTCTTTATCCTTTGACCTGAAGGTGTGACCCCGACCTTGAGTCGGCACACCTGGCATATAAGTTCTGCACATTATCTGGATGTGCTTAAGACTTGACCTACGTTTCATAATTCTCAATTCTCAGGGAGTGGTGCATATTCATGGAATAATAACTGATCACCAATCAACAGCCCTTTCCAAATAGACACTAATATAATAGTATATAATAATAAAAAACAATAATTATATAAAATGCATATAATATAAAAAAATGGGCCGAAAAGGGTCCGCCGAAACCAGACTTGCCCGGCCGAAAACGACTGGGCCAATTACAAAATGGGAGCAAACCACTGTGCTAGTTTTATACTCACCTATGTTTGAAGGCTGTTTTTATTGGCTAAAATATGTATGAAAAGACAAAAATAAGATATGTACGAAAAACAAAAATAAAATATGAATGCAAAATTAAAAAAAAATATGTCTGCAAAACTGACAAAAATATGTATGCAAAACTAAAATAAAATATGCAAATGTCACTTTTATGCCACCGTTATTTTGTTATATGAACACAATTTTTAGATATTTCAAGTGGTAAAATTAATGAAACTTTTATCATTTAAGCATCATAAAGTATTGACCGCCATCTTGAATTCCACCTCAAATATTCCTATGTCGCAGATAGAAAATAAGTTAGTACTCAGTATTTAAGCAGAACTCAGATGACACCTTTAGACCTCTTGAACCCAAAGTGCGTTGATATGTAGCATATTAACGCACTTTGGGGTCAATTTCTCGATTTTAACCCCAAAGTGCGTTGGACCCCAAAGTGCGGTGTGAAGTTTAACGCACTTTGGGGTAGGACCCCAAAGTGCGGTTGACCCCAATGTGCGGTGTTACAGTTTCAAATCCAGAAGTTCGATATCAAATTCATATAGTTCTCGAATACTCATAATTTGATGATGTTTATTTTAGATATGTGGTCCAAAGTTTTGCTTCCACCGATATTGAGAAAAGATGAGATAATTACGTATAACATTTTATTTAAAGTGTGAGTATATCTTTGTGAAACACATGTTTAATAGTGATGCGAATTCAAGTACTATATTAGCATTGTAAAACGAAATCATTTAAAGATATTTTACACTCATTCTCACTTTAGTACGATATTCCATGACTTCAATATTCTATGGCATTTGGTGGAAATATATCAGCCCGACCATTCCAGCAGAGGTTTTAACTTTAATATAATTTAAGCGCAAGTTTCGTAGCTTATTGGTTTGGCTTTTGCTAGTGACAATCTTTTGCATGGAAGGAGTAAGAAATACAACATGTTTTCAACAGAATTGTAGCATGTTTCATTGCAAGTATCTTCTTACTAAGAATCGTGGTTAACAATAAACACAGCTTATTTTCGCCATTCTATTGCAGATATGCCATTATACAAAACTGTTTTTGATGTAACGAAAATATTTTTCTAAAAGTCAAATTTGAATTGTATGGTGGCATATTTCTGCCAACAGTTAACCGTTATATATATCGCGTTAACTATCTGACTTTCTAGTAAGTTTCATGTTAACACGATATATAACAGATATTTATCAGACTTAATATCTTTTCTGTCAGACTGATAAACAACGAATAAGTATCTAACTTCCCAAAACACTAATACGTGCCCAGAACTGCCAACACTTTCCAGTTAATTTATATATAATTATCTGTTTATCTGTAAACCTTTTGTATTTGTTCACTGACAAAAACAAAATATTGTGTTAAAATATAACACCAATTATAAAAATTTTTATGACTTATTGAAACAATTATATGTATGATGATTTGCAGTAAGGGTTACAAATATAATTTACAATTCTTGGATGCGGCAAGTATCTTACAAATGTCTCATCTAAACTCTCCAACACAAAACGGGTCTAAAAACATCAACATTTTGCTTACAGTTATCAATTATTTATAGAATTAAAATTTGCAGTTTTCACAAGATAACTGATACAGACACATATATAAACAACCCTTTAATCCCGTTTTATAGACATTTAAAAAAAAAGGCGGCGTTGCCGTTGCCGTCCACAAACTTGTATCTGGATCATAACCTTTTTAGTTCTTGGTGAATTGTCTTCATACTTGGCCACAACAACCCTTTGGACAAGACCTTTCAGTAGACTACACTAACCTTCACCTTCATCCATAAATGACCTTGACCTTTAAGGTCAAATGTCCAAATTGTGCTTGTTCTTGCTATTATTGACTGTTACTTTGTTATTTTTGAATGAATTGTCTCTAAACTTTGACACAATAATCTTCAAGGATAGCCCTTTAAAATAATTAGACAGACATTGACCTTCACTCATAAATTACCTTGACCTTAAAAGTCAAATTATATCAGTGTTGCAAGTAGCCTTATAGCCAATTTACTACAGTTATAACACTGGAAACAGCATTGGTGGCACTATACAAAAACAAATTGGTTTATAATCCGACAACCTTCACCTTTCTGACATTCTGATACCCAAACAAATTCAGCGCTTTATGTGCTTTGATTCCATATGTTTTAGCAAGAAGGAAGTGTTTTTCCCTTTGTTGCTGAATCACATAGTTTGTACTTGTCTCCAAAGTCGGTACCATTTACGAGTTTTGATTTGAAAAACAATGTTAATCAAACATAGTAACATCTTAATGGTTTGTTCTATAATAGCATTAAGGCTACAGAAATATAGGTGACATAAAATATGAGGATTAAGTGTGTTTGTGCATTTAGTAAAGTTACATGTTACAAGCGTTATGTTAAAATCAAATTACGAGGCTCTTAAAAACCGTGCGTTTGACCATATGTTCTCAATAATATCAATATTATTATGCTTGGTATATCAAGAGTGGATATTTGTCTTGCTTATATTCTGTCATTTATTTAAACCATTTAACAATTTCTCATTAAAATTCTTTGTCAAACAGAAATTTTCAACATTAACGAGCCTCATTTATGGGACCTCTCTCACCTTCTCTTGCGATTTATTCTGCTTGATTTGTTGAATTATTCCAAGAGATTAGTCTAAGAGATGTTAATGAATGTTGGTATTATTGAAATTGTATTCTTCCACGGAAAAAAGAAGTATTCATGTTTTTAATACGCATCTGAAATGTGTTCATCACTTGTAGATAGCTTCTAAAAATCATAATTTTGATGTAATAATTGGTATTTAGACGTTTTGATTTTATAGAGATCAATTGAAGAAATACTTGCGCCTCCGTGGTCGAGGGGTTAGAGTCGATGACTTCTAATCCAGTTACCTCTCTGGCGTGGGTTCGATCCCCGGGAGATGCTTTGGTAGTTTAGCGCGGAGGAAGGTAGTCTAGTACTGGTGTAACTCTCCAGGAACGATGGTTAGGAAACTACCCGCCTATATGACTGAAATACTGTTGAAAAAGGCGTAAAATGAAACAAACAAACAAAACTTGTGTTGATCGCCGTTGGATATCAATAATACGATATGGAAATAGGCTTATTTTATTCAATGATAATAGGATTACTAAACGCGTCTTCAACATGGACTTCAATAAATGCAGTGTAGTGCAGTGACGTTAAAACGGTTATGACAAAATTGAACTTGGTCAGACGTTTTGAGAACAAAACCGTTATAAGTATAGATTATGTTAAGACCAAGGTAACTCAATATTATACGGATAATTGGAAAACTGACATACAAAAAGTACAGAAATTACGAACCTATGTTACCCTTAAGGATAATTTTATAACAGAAAAATATGTACAGTTAAATTTGAATAAAAATGAAAGATCAATGCTATCTCAGTTTAGGTGTGACATTCTCCCGTTAAGGATTGAAACTGGACGTTATATCAGTGAAACACCAGAGCAGAGAATTTGTATGTTTTGTACCGATAATAAAATAGAAAATGAAAAGCACTTTTTAGTCCAATGTCCCTTTTACAACAACATCAGAGTAGACATTTTTAGTGAACAATTTATGAATGCAGATTTTATGAACATGAACGATGATATGAAAATGAAATATCTTGTTGTAAGTTTTCCACCAAAAGTAGCTAAATACCTTGTTAATGCTTATCTTAAAAGAAAGAAATCCTTGTTTAATCGTTGAAATATTCATGTGAACTATTTATAATGTATATATGTTTCAGGTGACTTATTGGTCCATTGGGCCGGGTGTTATGTTAAATTATTTAATTTCGTTATTTGTAAACTGCCATACACATGTCACTATAATAAAATATTTACTTACTTACTTACTTACTTATATGACATGACGTAAATTATTTAAAATTTGACAGTTGACTAATAATAAGTAGGCACTATTTTAGATTTTTTCAGTAACTACATAGTCATGTTTATTCATTTGGAAAATAAGATTTCAGCATATTCGGTATAAGGGGCGTTTTAAAAAAAAGATATAGTTTATATACTTTAAATGATTGATTCCCATTCGCAGATGGTCATATAGTAAGATGATAGAAAGTTTATTATAAGTGACCAAATAAAATCGCCATACCACATGTACAATTTTAAGGACCATTGTTTCAAAATGAGGAAATTTATTTTCTGGTGTCAAATAGATAACCTAACATAGTGAAAAATCTAGGACATCTGTACTGGTAATATTTTACATTTAAGATGCTTTTGAAATTGAATAGCATTTTAATAGACATGTACAAGAAAAGTCATTTTTTAATTCTAGAATTTATGAAATGTCGTGGTTTACTGAGAATGAGTGATTGCATTATAATTCCCCATGATTGCGTGTTAAATCATTTGACATAGATTTTTATAAAAAGATATAGGCTCAAACAAACGTATAATGATGATTCGCTAATAACAACTTTAACAAAAACAGTATGTGAATGTTTTTGTTTTTTTTTCTTTACATAGGTATGGTGGACCAGGAACACAGCTTGTAACAGGAGAGTTTAGCATCGGCTGGGAGCATTATTTATGTAGTACACACGGTATAATAATTGTATTTGTGGATGGGCGTGGTACCTCAGGGAGAGGAAATAAATGGTTACATGCTAATTACAAGAAACTAGGCACAGTTGAAGTTGAGGATACAATAACAGCAGCACGGTAAGTTTGTGTTAAGATAAAACTGTATTTCTTTTCCTGTTTGATGCATGTTTTATCCTATCAGGTCAGATGATCACGAGAGCGGAGCTATGTCGTAGTTTGATGCATGTTTTATCCTATCAGGTGAGGTGACCACGAGCGCGGAGCGATGTCGTAGTTTGATGCATGTTTTATCCTATCAGGTGAGGTGACCACGAGAGCGGAGCTATGTCGTAGTTTGATGCATGTTTTATCCTATCAGGTGAGGTGACCACGAGAGCGGAGCTATGTCGTAGTTTGATGCATGTTTTATCCTATCAGGTGAGGTGACCACGAGAGCGGAGCTATGTCGTAGTTTGATGCATGTTTTATCCTATCAGGTGAGGTGACCACGAGAGCGGAGCTATGTCGTAGTTTGATGCATGTTTTATCCTATCAGGTCAGATGATCACGAGAGCGGAGCTATGTCGTAGTTTGATGCATGTTTTATCCTATCAGGTGAGGTGACCACGAGCGCGGAGCGATGTCGTAGTTTGATGCATGTTTTATCCTATCAGGTGAGGTGACCACGAGAGCGGAGCTATGTCGTAACTTCCGTTTTAATACTTAGTCAATTTACCAGAATAGTTTGCTTTGATTAATTATGTATTTTGTAATCATTGGTTACTTCTTCGAGGCGAAATTGCTTCGTGACAAATAATCTTGAACAATGTGTTGAATGTTCATTTGTCTTACACGCTGACTGAAAAATATTGTAGGATATTCAGTCGGTTTCTTGCTTACAAGTTATAATTATTGGTTAGTTATCCAGGTAAGCCAGTTAGATGGACCGATCAACAAGTTATCTCTTTGTTATCACCAAACCTGTAGCAAAACAAAGTAAATATCATAAAACACAGCATATTTAAATGGTCTGATCGTCTCATATGAAGTAACAAAACAATACGTACGACTGTCTCAGGAATGAATTAACTTTGCGTTTTTTTCGAATATGAACGTTAATCTTTTATACACGCATAATTAAAAGGGAAGATTTTTTTCTCAATATTATTATCCAATATACATGTATCTGAATCTGTTTTAGCAAATAACAATAGGTATTTCTATATTGTAGTGCATTTAAATTGTCTATAGCATTTTATCAGCTAATCACTACATTCACTTACTAACATTAACACCGTGAAAGGGTAAATAATTATATTCTACAAAATTTAATATAAAGCGCCGTTTATTCTCTTTATAATTTAATTGTAATATTTATCTATCTTTTTTCCAGATATTTTAATAAATTGCATTATGTGAATGAGCAGACAGCTATCTGGGGACTGGTAAGCGACTTGTTTATATATTTATCTATTTACGAATAAAATCAATAAATTAAATCACAAACATTTGTTAATAATATGTGATGTTATTCAATTACATAAACTCGCAGACAATTTAATTTTAATCCATTCAACGTTCTCCTCATACAATACTTAATGAAAAAAACAGAAATATTTTAAGTTTAACATCAAAGATTTATTGTCACTCCGTCACATCTAATATAAACACAAACGTTATAATAATATGTGCACCTTACGCATAAATAAATAAATAAAACCATGCATTTCGAGTAATTATATGTATAAATATTATAATACCAATTTGAATGATATGGTGAATCACACATTGTCAGTGGAACGCCATTTTCTTTTTCGAATGAAAATGTCGAATTAAACTGATACACACAAACATGTACTTTTCGGACATGAAAAACTGATACACACAAACATGTACTTTTCGGACTAAACTGATACACACAAACATGTACTTTTCGGACTAAACTGATACACACAAACATGTACTTTTCGGACTAAACTGATACACACAAACATGTACTTCACGGACATGAATTAAACTGATACACACAAACATGTACTTTTCGGACTAAAAATTCTTGTAGAGGATATAGACTCCAAGAGCTTAAAACTTAGTGCATTTTTTTTACGTTGGCAAAGAAGGAAAACTCAAACAAGAGCATAGAATTTTCTTAATCTTTACATTTAATTAAGAACTTTTATGATAAATAGTTTATAAGTCGTGCTACTTTTTTCAGAAAATTAGCATCTTATATACTGTTAAACTATCGTTTAAACCTAGACCTAATGATTTCCTTTCTCAGTCATATGGAGGTTTCTTGACGTCATCGGTGATAGGTCAGGGAACAGAGGCATTCAAATGTGGTCTTGCGGTAGCACCCGTTACAGATTGGAGATATTATGGTAAAGCTTTCGCTATTCTATTTTTTTAAGTTTTTAACTGTTTATCGGTAAGTTTTAACTATTTAACTAAAAGTTTAAACTATTCAACGAAAATTTTAAACTATTCACCGACAAGTTTTCACAATTCAACGACAATTTTTTACTATTTAGGGATAAGTTTTAACTATTTAAGGACAAGTTGTAACTTTTTGATAACAAGTTTTAAACATTTTGGGACAAGTTTTAACTATTTACACTTACGTTTTATCTGTTTTACAAGTTTTAACCATTTAGGGACATGTTTTCACTATTTTACGACAAGTTTTAACTATTTTAAGACAAGTTTTAACTATTAAGGGATAAGTTTTAACTATTTATGTCAAGTTTTTACTATTTGACGACATGTTTTAACTATTCGACGACATTTTTTAACTATTTAGGCACATGTTTCAACTTCATAGTAATAACAACAAGTTTTAGCTATTAAACGACAAGTTTTAACTATTAAACGACAAGTTTTAGCTATTAAACGACACGTTTTAGCTATTAAACGACAAGTTTTAACTATTAAACGACAAGTTTTAGCTATTAAACGACAAGTTTTAGCTATTAAACGACAAGTTTTAATTATTTAGGGACAAGTTCTTTCTATTCAACGACAAGTTTTAACATGCCCATCACTAAATCTACAAGGAAACAATGAATGGAGTGTTGTTGAAATCACACTTTTTGAAATAAAGGCAATCACAACACCACCTTTGACATTATCTTCCAAAGCCATCTATTTCAATGCTACTTCTGAATTATATATGAAGCAATTTTGTTTTCTTGAATACGGAACTTTTATTGTTTTAGCTACAATATTACACTGACGATAAGTATAGTGTTCTGTAAATGAAGATAGTAATGTATTTTAGACAAATAATATCATTTTGGACGTTCTAGTGTGACAAAAATCTAAAATTAACTGAAATTATTCTAAACATTCTTTATCTAAAATAAGGACGCTAATGAGAAGGTCAATATTGACTTATTTTGGGTAAAGTAGTTATTAACACAATCTGGCTTTCGCCTTCTTTCGATTATCTTTGTATTAACTATTTACAGTATATTTTTGCCACTTGAAAGTGTGTTTTCAACTAAGACGTCATTAGGAAAAATACCAATGTAACGGCTTCCATTATACTCATATTGGTCCGTAATCCTTCTGTAAAATTAATTTATATGTAAATAGATATGGAATTAATTTTTGCCTAATAAAGACTTGAACCTGCTGGAACCTTGTTCGATAAGTCTTTGTCACCGGTATAGAACCAGGCTAGCCTGCACCTCCGTGCAGTCTGGTCAGTACTATAGACTGACCTTACTTTTCAACTTGATATTATTAAAATTGATTACGGACAGTTCGAAAAATGGAAGCCGGACAATTATGTTTAGAAAAAATATGAAGGTAAAGACCTGATCAGGAATATTAATCATTATATAATGTGAATGTTGCTTTTTTTCGTATTGTACAGATTCGGTATATACAGAACGGTATATGGGTTTACCGAGGGCTCATGATAATCTTGCTGCTTATAACGTAAGTTAATAACACCACTTGATAATTGGTGCCTTTATTATATGGAACCTGTTTCTTGACATGTTGTACATTTAACTTGTTAATTTGTTCATATAATTACGGACCTGTATTTCCAAAGTGACTACTACTCAGGACATTTTGTTGTTATTAGCTCACCTGAGCAAGAAGTGCTCAAAGGTGAGCTTTTGTCATCACTCTGCGTCCGTCGTGCGTCGTGCGTCGTGCGTCCTTCAAAAAATGGCGTCAAACTTTTCAAACAACATCTCCTCCTAAACTACATGGCCTATTGCAACCTTAAAAAATCTTCTTCTAAAAAACCGTAAGAGCTAGAGCTTAGATATTTGGCATTAAACATCTTCTAATGAGTGCCTACCAAGTTTGTTCAAATCAAAGCCCTAGGGTCAAAATTGGCCCCGCCCCAGGGGGTCATTGATTTTCCCTATATGCATATAGTAAAAACTTAAAAAATCTTCTTTTAAAGAACTCAAAGAGCTAGAGCTAAGATATTTAGCATGAAACATGTTCTAATGGGTGTCTACCAAGTTTGTTCAAATAAAAGCCCTGGGATCAAAATTGGCTCCGCCCCGGGGGTCATTGATTTTCCTTATATGTGTATAGCAAAAACTTAAAAAAATCTTCTTTAAAAAAACCCAAATAGCTGGAGTTTAGCTATTAAGCATGAAACATCTTCTAGTGAGTGTCTACAAAGTTTGTTCAAATCAAAGCCCTAGGGTCAAAATTGGCCCCGCCCCGGGGGTCATTGATTTTCCTTATATGACTGTGTATAGCAAAAACTTAAAAATCTTCTTTGAAAAAACTCAGATAGCTAGTGTTTAGATATAAAGCATGAAACATCTTCTAGTGAGTGTCTACCAAGTTTGTTCAAATAAAAGCCCTAGGGTCAAAATTGGCCCCGCCCCAGGGTGTCTTTGATTTTCCCTATATGCATATAGTTAAAACTTAAAAAATCTTCTTTTAAAGAACCCAAAGAGCTAGAGCTAAGATATTTAGCATGAAACATCTTCTAATGAGTGTCTACAAAGTTTGTTCAAATAAAAGCCCTAGGGTCAAAATTGGCCCCGCCCCCAGGGGTCATTGATTTTCCCTATGTGCATATAGTAAAAACTTAAAAATCTTCTTTTAAAGAACTCAAAGAGCTATAGCTAAGATATTTAGCATGAAACATGTTCTCTTGGGTGTCTACCAAGTTTGTTCAAATAAAAGCCCTAGGGTCAAAATTGGCCCCGCCCCGGGGGTCATTCATTAGCTTGACTTTTTTTTTTAGATATATACATATATATATATATACACATATATATTTATATATATAGGATATTAAATGAGTGTAGGTTTAATACTAAATTTATTGAACGAGTTGAATAAAATCATATTATGCGAGCCTCTGGCGAGCATAATATTGTTTTATTCAACGAGTTCAATAAATTTAGTATTGAATCTACACGAATATAATATTCTATTTATCACATACATGTATATAAAAAAAGAACGGTAAACTGTTAACAAGAGTCATTTTTCTTTGACGCGCCTATAGTGTAACGCTTATATTACCGCGCTTTAACGCTATGTTTATAGCGCAAATGACGTGACGTCAAAGTGTTATTACACTAGTGTAATATCGTCTAGTGTAATATCGTTTTTATTAAATGGCTTTATTACACTCCTGTGCCGCGGGTTATGTGATAAATATATATATATATATATACATGCATACATATACAACCAAGTTTGTTCAAATAAAAGCCCTGGGGTTTAAACTGGCCCCGCTCCAGGGGCCTATATACAGGTGAGCGACTTTGGGCCATCATGGCCCTCTTGTTTTTATCAAAGGTTTGAAAATTTATTAAGTAAATCCTGCTTGTTCTTAAATTACCTGAAACATGAATTAGATACAGATATTTGAATATGACTAATTCTAGCATAAAAATTATCAAATACACATTTGAAATAAAGCTATGTACACATACATTTAAAAAGCTATCAAAGTATATTAAGAACTACATAAAACAATGTTTAGGCAAACACTTGGTACTAACAGTTACTGTATTACATTGAAGGGTCCATAATCGCCGCCTTGTGAATACATCTGTTTAAACCATTTTCGTAGGTTAATGTTGAGTTCTGCTTCAGCCGATGCTAAAATCGATTAGATGGCTTACGTGTGTTAGGTGTTTTGGAAGACCTTTAAGGTTTTCAGTTTTGACTTATTTATTTCAAATCCCACTTTATGTTTCCAGGCTGCTAATGTATCCAGGTTTGCATCGAATTTTAAATCGGCAAGGTTCATGGTAATACATGGAACTGGGGACGGTAAGTGACTTTTTCACTATAGCTATACAAAAATCTGATCGTTGATCGGGTAAGTTTTGTTCTTGGTATTGTTTGACTTGTGTCCATCTCGGTTACCCAATGACATAAACCGCACCTTATCAATATCTAAATGATAGCCAATATCGTTCAGTAATTTCGAAAAAGCTTGCTTGTAAATAAGCTTTACACAAAACCCTACTCGCCACTTGATGTGTTGTCGCTAAATTACTTTAAAAGAACTCCACTGTGGTCTGAAAGATTTGAATTCTTACAAAGATCCCCTAAGGGCACTTGAAATAGAAAGATATGCATGAGATAATTAAAAATATACTCTGAAATAAACTGAAAATAGTATTTTGAGCCATTCCTATCCCAATTTAAGTGAAATGGTTGCAACAATTTTCAGTGTTGTTTTTTTTAGCTCACCTGTCACAAAGTGACAGGGTGAGCTTTTGTGATCGCTTTTCGTCCGGCGTCCGTCCGTCGTCCGTCCGTAAACTTTTACTTTAAATGACATCTCCTCATAAACCACTAAGCCAATTTCATCCAAACTTCACAGGAATGTTCCTTTGGTGGTCACCTTTAAAAATTGTTCAAAGAATTTAATTCCATGCAGAACTCTGGTTGCCATGGCAACCGAAAGAAAAAACTTTAAATATCTTCTTTTAAAAAACCCTGAGAGCTAGAGCTTAGATATTTGGCATGAAGCATCTTCTAGTGAGTGTCTACCAAGTTTGTTCAAATAAAAGCCTTGGGGTCAAAATTGGCTCCGCCCCAGGGGGTCATTGATTTTCCCTATATACATATAGTAAAAACTTAAAAAATCTTTTTTTAAAGAACCCAAAGAGCTAGAGCTAAGATATTTACCATGAAACATCTTCTAATGAGTGTCTTACCAAGTTTGTTCAAAGAAAAGCCCTGGGGTCAAAATTGGCCCGCCCCAGGGGTTATTGATTTTCCCTATATGCATATATAGTAAAAACTTAAAAAATCTTCTTTTAAAGAACTCAAAGAGCTAGAGCTAAGATATTTAGCATGAAACATGTTCTAATAGGTGTCTACCAAGTTTGTTCAAATAAATTCCCTGGGGTCAAAATTGACCCGGCCCCGGGGGTCATTGATTTTCTTTATATAGCGAAAACTTCAAAAATCTTCTATGAAAAAACCCAAATAGCTAGAGTTTAGATATTAAGCATGAAACATCTTCTAGTAAGTGTCTACAAAGTTTGTTCAAATAAAAGCCCTGGGGTCAAAACTGGCCCCGCCTCTGGGGTGTCAATGTTTTTAACTATATTTGTATAGTAAAAACATAAAAATCTTCTTTTAAAAAACCCAATGAGCTAGAGCTTAGATATTTAGCATGAAACATCTTCTTATGGTTGTCTTCCAAGTTTGTTCAAATAAAAGCCCTGGGGTTTAAACTGGCCCCGTTCCGGGGGCCTATATACAGGTGAGCGACCTCAGGGCCATCATGGCCCTCTTGTTTGGGTCATGTTTTATAATTAGAATATTTTTTCAGGAAAAAAGGTGTGAGCAAATGATCTGAATTGCACCAAGTTTTTGGGTTTTAAAACAAATTTTAAAAATTTTTCTAACTTTTAACCCTTTTAAGAAATTTTTGACTGGCCCCTTTTATTTTTAAGAAAACCCCCCGGGTGGATTTCTGAAACAAATGGCCTTTTTTAAAGAAAAAAACTTTTTTGGGGAATTATCTTTTGGGTTTTTTTCCCTATTATTGGGAAAATTTTAAATTTCGAGAAATCGAGCCGTTTAAAATGTACAAAAAAACGTCCTTCTTACCCTTTCCCAGAAATTCATCGTGGTCACTTAGTTTCCCAAGCTGCTTTCCCATTTCGCGAGGGAACCACCCCTTTGGTTATGCCCTTTTTTAAAACCCCCCTTAACCCCCCGCACTTTGGGTCCGACGAAACCTTTGGGGCCCCCCGTTTCCCAAGTGCGTTACCTCCTCTTTCCCCACTTTTTTTTTTCCCAAACGCATTTTGGGGTCAAAATTTCTTGAAAAATGACCACAAAGTCTTTAAAATATGCGACAAAATTGGGCCCCATTTTGGGGTTTCCAGGGTTTCTGAAAGGGGGTAAATTTTTTTCTGTTTAAAAAAGTACTGACTTTTTTTGATCCCCGACATTTAAACTTTTTGGGGTGGAGTTTAAAGGGCCCCGGCCCATTTTGTTTAATCTTAATGAAAAAATTTTCCCATAAATTTTACCCCTTGAAAACCCCAAAAAAATTTGTTTAATTAAAAACCCCCAAATACTCTAGTCCCAAAAATTTTTTCCCTTTGTTTTTCCCTAAAAAAAAAAGTTTTCCCCTGCAAAAAAATCCTGTTTTTAAATTTATTTATTTTGGGGGCCCATAATTTTTGGGGGCCTATTTGACCCCCCATTTTAAATAAGATGGGGATAAAATTTAATTTTGCGTTAATTTTTTTTTTTAAAAAAAACCAAAAAAATTATTCTTTTTTTGCAATGTTCTGGTGAAATATCAAGTTTCTCGATCGGACTATAAATGGTGATTTTTACAAATACATTATTAAGCTTATCAACAAACTTAAGTTGTTTTTTTTTTGTTAGCTCCGTAACAACCGTTCGCCAGAGACTTTTTTAATGGGAAATCATACATACTTCTTTAGAAAGGGCAAACATGAATTTTAAAGAGAACACATGAAAAAGATGGCTCAGGTAACTGGCCAATGAGTATTTTTTTGGATACTATAGAAGATCATCAAAATTAAAAAGCCTTTAAGAAAAACAAAATAAAAGCATAATAGGCCTTCAAGGAGCAGTAGTCCAGTGGTAGGACGCGCGCTTAGGGATCGAGAGGTCCCGGGTGCGAACCCCACTAGGGGCACTGCTAATTTCCTTGAGCAAGAAATTTACCTGCGATTGCTTCACTTCACCCAGGTGTAAATGGGTACCTGCGAGGGTGGTATAAATCCGTTGCGCCAAAGTGTCGGCTGCATTAAGCGGAGTTAAAAGACTCCCCAGGGAGATTGATAGATAGATACCAGTAGCCCGATGACCAGGGGTAATAGCTGTAAAGTCGGTGAACGTGCGTAAGCATGAAACTTAGACTATAAAATGCAATTACTTTATTCTAAACGTTATTTTTATAATCTCGAGGGGATCGACACCCCACCTTTACATTATTATGGCACTCCGTTTTAATGTGTGTCTACTTAAATAGTGTATGATAATTTTGAGTACTGCCTGTACGACTACTAAATAAGGCCTGATCTACACCAATATTAATTTAGATAAGCTAAATAAATGGCCCTTTCAACATATTATCAGGCACATTTTTTTTACTGAAATGTCCTTTTAAGATTTCCAAGAATTTATACTTTTGTCTATGCTAAGACTATCATATTTTTAAAAAAATGCTTAAATTAAATAAAAAACGGGAAAATGATGCAATTAGCTAAAAATGGAGTTAATGAAAGGTGTACATTCTTTTAAAATAAATGGAAAATTTTAGAAAAATATATTTTGAGCTTATTAATTGATACAAATTCTTTATTTGATGAAAGTTCTTCACTTACTGATCAAGATCATTTAAATCCCTATTGATTCTACTTTAATTCAGGGCTCATGTTTGCATCTATTGAATTCCTTGAATTTTGTTTACCACAATATATTATTTAAAACATAATGAAAATTCATTTTTATGACCCCATCGTTTGTCTGATGTTAAAAAATGCATATGTACCTGTTTAGCGCACTTTAGGGTCGAAATTTGGACCCCAAATTGCGTAACGCACTCTTGGATCGGACCCCAAAGTACGTAACGTGTGGGCTGGACCCCAAAGTGCGGTGTTACAAACCTCCATAAAGTGTATTAAGCTCATATCTGTTGTCTGAAGTTTACATATTTTTGTATGAATTTTGAAAAAGAATAATTCAATGTAAATAACAGAATTTTTTTAATTTTATAAAATTATTTCATTAGATTTAGTTTTATTCCCGTGTATCTTAACACGTTTTATGTTTTCATTTTCAGACAATGTTCATTTCCAAAATACCGCTCAACTAATTAAAGCATTAACAGAGGAAGATGTATATTTCAGATCTCAGGTAAATCTTTGTCATCATTGTATCAAATAATGCTTAACTTATCACTTGTATCTACATATATTAAATAATGCTTAACTTATCACTTGTATTTACATCTATCAAATGTATCAAATAATGCTTTACTTATCACTTGTATCTACATATATCAAATAATGCTTAACTTATCACTTGTATCTACATATATCAATTGTATCAAATAATGCTTAACTTATCACTTGTATCTACATATATCAAATGTATCAAATAATGCTTAACTTATCACTTGTATCTACATATATTAAATGTGTCAAATAATGCTTAACTTATCACTTGTATCTACATATATTAAATGTGTCAAATAATGCTTAACTTATCACTTGTATCTACATATATCAAATAATGCTTAACTTATCACTTGTATCTACATATATCAAATGTATCAAATAATACTTAACTTATCACTTGTATCTACATATATTAAATGTGTCAAATAATGCTTAACTTATCACTTGTATCTACATATATTAAATAATGCTTAACTTATCACTTGTATCTACATATATCAAATAATGCTTAACTTATCACTTGTATCTACATATATCAATTGTATCAAATAATGCTTAACTTATCACTTGTATCTACATATATCAAATGTATCAAATAATGCTTAACTAATCACTTGTATCTACATATATCAATTGTATCAAATAATGCTTAACTTATCACTTGTATCTACATATATCAAATGTATCAAATAATGCTTAACTTATCACTTGTATCTACATATATCAAATAATGCTTAACTTATCACTTGTATCTACATATATCAAATGTATCAAATAATGCTTAACTTATCACTTGTATCTACATATATCAATTGTATCAAATAATGCTTAACCTATCACTTGTATCTACATATATCAAATGTATCAAATAATGCTTAACTTATCACTTGTATCTACATATATCAATTGTATCAAATAATGCTTAACTTATCACTTGTATCTACATATATCAAATGTATCAAATAATGCTTAACTTATCACTTGTATCTACATATATCAAATGTATCAAATAATGCTTAACTTATCACTTGTATCTACATATATCAAATGTATCAAATAATGCTTAACTTATCACTTGTATCTACATATATTAAATAATGCTTAACTTATCACTTGTATCTACATATATCAAATGATTGTGTAGATACTCATTATGTTTTAATATCTTATGTGTCAGTTCTTTTGTTTGCATTTATAAATTTTAGATTTGCTTTCAAAAAAAAGTACATTTAATTTAAACTCATTTAAATTCATACAAGTAATATTTTCGATAATTCATGGAGGTGTTACTCAAAAGCCACTCTAATGAAATCCATTGCACGATGAAAGTAATAGTTTGATTTATCAAAGTAACGATTAACTGAAAGGAGCTAAAGTCACATTCCGGACAAAAAATGTGTAACAATGTCTTGTATGGTTAATGCTGACCATTATCTCATATATTTTACAGATTTATACGGACGAAAATCATAATTTAGATGGCGGCAATACTAAGAAACATTTACACAATACAATGGAGGACTTTATTTTACAATGTTACGGGAAGCCTACAAATTTTGATGAGCTAAACGATTTCTCTCTTGAGGCTGAAAAAGACGTGGAAGATTACGATTAATAGATTGAAAACATTGATTTATTCCAATATGATTTTGATGCTCATTCTGATAATACGAGGGAAAAATGTCAATTGTTCAGTTCCGACGAACGAACATTGTGCTTATGTATGTACAAACTGCGGCGAGCTTCTCTTTTTTCCAGTAATTGGTGTGGAGGTAGTGTGTTTATTGTTCAAATGAGAGAGAAATTGTGATATATCTAAACGCTACTTTTTAGAAGAAGAGTATTAAGAAACTTCCTTGGCCATGGAAGGACATGTTGCTATAGATTTATACCAGTGTGTTTATTTATTATACAGACCTCTAAAAGACATCTTTATCACCAAACTAGACGCTTCAAAATCTTGAAATGTCAAAGTGAAAGTCTCAACTGATTTAAATGAAAAACAGATCGATATTCAAAGTTTCTTCACACAATAACGTAAAATAACTTTCCGTTATTTTGGTTGGTCATTTATAATGAAAATAACATATTCAAGCAAATAAAGATCAAAATTGCTGATGCCATACGATATTTATGTTGCAGCAAATAATGTACATCATGTGCCAATTCGCATTACATTTTTCTATTGCCATATAATTCATAGTGCCAAGTTATTTGTTCACACGCGACCATGTTAAAGTACAGAAGATGATGAAAACATTATTGATGAAGCTTGAATAAATATGTCGATACATGTCATAGCTTATAAATAGGAATTGATAATGAAATATCACAGAAGGCAAGCGAAGATAAGGAGTAAATGTATACTTTTGTTATTGCATACAATTTACAAAAGTGATTATCATTATGTCGATATTGTTTATATTAAAATTGCATATGTGTTAACACACGGCCCAGGGATGAATGTTTAGTGAATGTTTCGACAAGAAAAGTAATGGTATTGCAGAATAATTATGATCAGTATGTGTGCTGGTACATTGAATTTTCTATGTATGAACAGGTTCTAAACTGATTGGTGTATTGTTATCTAATTGGTAGATTTGTAAAGGAAATTGAAGAATACTGAAAACTCACTGTGAACTTTTTATTTCAATGCTAAGGGGGGCATAGGAAGCTGTCTGTATGGTTGTTTAAACCATGAGAAAAAATACTGTGATAATGAAACTTGTGCAGGACTGAGAAATGTTTGAAAAACGGGTTAAAGAATTGGAATGCGCGTATAAGCAATTGTGTAATAAGATAAGGTACTATTTACAGTATAAAAATAACTCAATATTCTTACATTGAATTTGACAGAATATGGAAAGCGGTTTTGTATTGACATTTTCTTTTTCTTAATATGCTTCACCATCGATACAAAAAAGATTTAGAATAAGAAATTCGTTGCACATTTTTGCATGGTGAAAATGGTGTATAATGTACGGATGTTTTGATTGGTTGTTATCAGAGTAGGCGTGTTTAATACCATGGTATGATTGTTAACCAGTACATGTTGGAATGTTGTTAACATAGAATGGTTTTGACAGTTGTTATTGTTTGGATTTAGCTTGAGGGTATATTAAGAATAAATGCCAAAATCATTATAGGTATGAACCGATTTGTCAAATAAAAACTGAAACCGAACTGTCAACGAAAATAGAAAATTGTTGCAGACGTTTTATTTTTCACTGAGTAAGTGTCAAACTTTATAAACAATTAATCAACAAATATTTGATTTAAAGTATAATAAATGCTGACTTATTGCTAATAATAATAATAATGATAATGATGACGTTTTGTTTTTGATTATTTCAAACAAGAGGTGTTTCAAAATATATAAGACAATATAATGAATAGTGGCAAGGGATGGATATAAAATATGATATTGGAATTGAGACATTCCCCGTTCCTCCAAACACTGGGGAAATATTATCTTGGGAAATATTGCTTTACTTATTTACTATTTATTCAAAAGTATTCATTTATTGAAAATTCAAAGTTATTTATAATGTTACACATACACTTGCATGCTATCATCCCAGAGTATCAACTAAGGTTTGTATAGATGTGTTACTGTAATTGAAACGTGTATTATTTTAACATTTTGTATGTGAATTGATATTGTTAGAATTCAGGTTTGTTCGCATCCATTCCATCTACATCTGTATTTATTAAGTTAAGTTTATTTGAGCGTTCAAAGGGTTACTGGTAAATCAGTCTTGCTTATCGGGCATTACAGTACTAGCTTGTCAAAAATGTTCAATGGATTCATTATTCCGAAAACTCTTTGAACAGCTCTTTTATCTTTCTGAGTTTTGATTTTGAACAAGTTTTCGTTGTTTCATTCTTCATAATTATGAACTTTTGAAATTCTCGTATATGAATTGTATCATTTTTGTTAAACATTTGTTTATTTGTTTCGGTTTGAAATAACGTGATAGATATTGAATCTTAAATGTTTTTACATAAATTTGTTCAATAACATAATACATTTTGTTAGACATTTACCTACTATACGTGTTTATTTACCGGGCTGCAAACGTTTCAAATGGATAAAAACGAAATACTTTCTGTAAATATTTTAGCAGAACGTGGTAATTATTTCATAAATGTTCATATATGTTGTTTGTTTTGCTGACATGTGTCTGATATTACAAACTTTCATCGCCAGTGGGAATATACAATCACACGTGCGAGGTCAAAATTTTAATATTTCTATTCCCAATTAATTTGTTGTAGGAAACGATTTGTTCGGAAATACGATACAATGCAGTTCAATAATAACCTAATTAAATCAAAGGGCTGCAAGCTCTGTGGTATTTTCTGATCTTTGCAATCTAAATCGTACATTTTCCTTTGATGTATCATAATTCATCTTGCAAGGCATCGAGTTGCAGCTACTGCGTTTAGATTTTTTGCTATAACAGTTTGATACATACGGAAATTTGCATGACCAGAGTTTCTAACTTGCATTATAAAATCATTTATGTACATTTTTTATGACAGCCACACCTTATTCTTGCATATCGTGGCTAATTCCTTAAAAAAGAATATTAAAATCGCTAAAAAACATTTAAGATTAAAATCGCTAAAACACTTTAAGAAAAAAAACAATTGTTGCCTTACCTATACCTTTCTCTTCCTAAACAAGCGTGTTACCCCTCGAAAGTTTGAAGCAAACCAAATTATTCAAAATTTAGAATTTCCATTAGGGTTTGAAATCCTTATTAATGTCCAGATATTTTGTTCACGGTAATTTCAATAATTTAGCAAAAATCTTCCCGCCCTAAAAGTCCGACATGTATATAATATTTTACTATCGGCTGAAGAGCCCTTTGTTTACATGGATTAAATTATCGGGCTTAACTTATAAGACCGTTACTTAAGGTAGAAATTGATAATCGATCGTCGACTGCCCTAAATTTGTCCCTGTCCTAGAGTCAACATTCTTAATTTGTTTTTCAGAAAACCTAAATAACAAATGTTCATTAAGTCAGCGTTTAATTCCGATCACAATAATCCGAACCTTTACGGAAATAGCCGAGTAATTTTCATTGATAAAAATGATATTCATCCGCGTAATTTGTGATTGTCCATTTATTGACTATTCTATAAGCCAAGGCTACTTTGAATGCGTTTTAATTCGCTGGATACTTGTAACAAAATAAAAATATGTCTTTCTTTTACATCGCTAGTTTTAAGCTGTTTTGAGAACTATATTTTGTTGTTAGGATTGTCGGGAAGCGCTGTTCCTGAGATTGAATGTCAGCATTGTATTTCCTGACGCTTTTGTAGCGTTTATCTTCTTTTAGTAAAATTGAGTTGTTACAATAATTTAAGGAAACGTTCAAGGGTCATTTTTTAGTGAGATGAAATGTTTTAACACAAACCAATGTAATTTACTCACAAAGGCTGGATAAGTTTTGTCACTTTTCTCAAAAAAGTATTATATGTTATGTTTTGAAGGTTTTTGTCCTAGTAAAGGTTTGTCAAAATGACAAATGTTGTGAGGTTTCTTTTTCAAAAGAGAAAAAGATACACGTTGTTCAGACGAAAAACTTAATTCTAACACTCCACGTGATTTTTTCATTTTAAAGCAACAATAAAAAACAGTTTTATTTATATTTTCAGTTCTCTACTCTTATAATGTTCTCTTTTCAAACAAAACTGAAATAAAATCTCACATACACTAAAGCCATAGATTTCATACAAAACTGAAATAGTATCTCACATACACTAAAGCCATAGATTTCATACAAAACTGAAATAATATCTCATATACACTAACGCCACAGATTTCATACACAACTGAAATAATATCTCACATACACTAACGCCACAGATTTCATACAAAACTGAAATAATATCTCACATACACTAACGCCACAGATTTCATAAAAACTGAAATAATATCTCATATACACTTACGCCACAGATTTCATACAAAACTGAAATGATATCTCACATACACTAACGCCACATATGTGATCCATATCCGTTAATAATTTTGTGACAAAACGCCGCCAATCCGTTAGCAACGTAATGACGTCATCCTAAGCATAAACGCTGATATCATTTCATACTTACATACATGATAAATTAGGCATCCATCCTAAGACGTAAGTTTTTATTTTAGAAAACTTGATAAAATTGCGGTTTTTTTTTTCTAATTATTTCTTTTGTTTAATCATTTCTGTACCTGAGCAAAAGTAGGATGCGCAAATCGAACAGCGTAATACGAAAATCGGTACTGGAAGTTATTTCCGCTTGAAATAACATTCTCCTTTATTTTATCGTGTTAGAATCGAAATAATATCGGTCTTAACGGTGTTTAACACTGGTTTGGTCGTTTCGATGCGAAAATATTAACCACTCAGGCATACGGCCTTCGTGGTCAATTCATACGCATCAAAACTCCAAACCGCTAAGACCGATATTATTTCTTAAGTACATCGAGAAACATTTAGCAAAATGGCCGTATATTTTTTAATCTTTGCGTATAAGATAAATTGATTTGTGTTTAAACATCTAATCAAATCGAATATAAATCAGTTGACTAACACATCATGATCACACTAACTGGTGACCCTGTAACATTTCTGTAATAACAAGAATGTCGAACGACACATATACCCCCCTTTCTAGCCATTGACTCACATAATTGATAATTTTATTACATAAACTTGCCAAAAATGGGTACATGGAAGTGTTCAATTATGGAAAAATCAACGGAAACCATTTTGACATTTAAGGCCCATGTGACATTGACCTTTGACCTAATGACCCCTAAATCAATAGAGGTCATCTACTTCTTATGACCAATAACTAGGTGAAATATGAAGACTTTGTGATGAATACTTTTCAAGATAATCAGTGGAAACCCTTTTGACATTTAAGGCCCCTGTGACCTTGACCTTTGACCTAGTGACCCCAAAATCAATAGGGGTCATCTACTAGTGATGACCAATCACTATGTGAAATATGAAGACTTTGTGATACATACTTTTCAAGATAATCAGCGGAAACCATTTTGACATTTAAGGCCCTTGTGACCTTTGACCCCAAAATCAATAGGGGTCATCTACTAGTGATGACCAATCACTATGTGAAATATGAAAACTTTGTGATACATACTTTTCAAGATAATCAGCGGAAACCATTTTGACATTTAAAGCCCCTGTGACCTTGACCTTTGACCTAGTGACCCCAAAATCAATAGGGGTCATCTTATAGTTATGACCAATCACTGTGTGAAATATGAAGACTTTGTGATACATACTTTTCAAGATAATCAGCGGAAACCATTTTGACATTTTAAGGTCCCTGTGACCTTGACCTTTGACCTAGTGACCCCAAAATCAATAGGGGTCATCTACTAGTGATGACCAATCACTATGTGAAATATGAAGACTTTGTGATACATACTTTTCAAGATAATCAGCGGAAACCATTTTGACATTTAAGGCCCCTGTGACCTTGACCTTTGACCTAGTGACCCCAAAATCAATAGGGGTCATCTACTAGTGATGACCAATCACTATGTGAAATATGAAGACTTTGTGATAAATACTTTTCAAGATAATCAGCGGAAACCATGTGGTCTACCGACGGACAGACCGACAGACAGACAGACCGACATTAGCAAAACAATATACCCCCTCTTCTTCGAAGGGGGGCATAATTAGCATATTATAAGTTTATCACTTCAAAATTTACATCAATCACTTTAAGCTCACCTTGAAAACAAGGAAAAGAAAATCAAAAATATATATTTTAAGAAAATACTCATATATTTAGTTCGTATATAATCGGTGCATGCTGCCATTTCCGTGGTCTTTTATTAGTCAGGTAATTGTTAATCAGGTAATTGTTTACTTTACCCGAATAAAAAATCTTGGTGACCAAATGCTTTGATGGATGTATTTCATTGCTTTTGACTATTGTTCATGTTTGCTTCAAATGAGTTCCAAGTATCAGGTTACAGTACTATGTGATTGGATTACGGTAAAGGAGATATTTGTCGACTTTTTATCTAATATTACGAGTTTTATTATAAGTCAATACTAGTACGTAAAACAATTTCACTGCGTCGCTTTGTACACTCACTTTTTGTTGTATATTTAACATAACGAACGTCCCCGTTGTAACGTTATTATATCCATAACCTGCAGGCGGTAACAGATTTTACCCAGTGCCGACCATGATTCATGGTCTGTACTGTTTGCTGTTCAGTCAATAAATTTTATGAATATTTTCCTTAAAATCGGGAATGATTTCGTCCAGATTGAAAGTTGGAAAATGTTCATTTTACAAATTCACCGGGTATAGGGTTAACCCACTGATTGACTACATGTATTGAATGTCCAAAAATAGTACATTTTCATCTCTAAAACAAAAAATGTCAGTTATTGAAAAATAATATTAAATTCGTTTACAAGTGTTTAGTTTTTGTTTTTATTGACACCATAACATATCAAGGGAAGTAACTAGTATCTTATTTAGGACCATGTCACATTTCAGAGTGCGGAAGAGTCATTTTGACGAATTAAAGAGCGACGCCAACTACTAATAAAACGTCATTTTTAAATCTTCCTAGAAGATACCTTCCTATTTTGCGTTCTGTTAAATGCGCTTTGTTAACCTTTCCGCAATCGAGCCTGAGCATTTAAATTTGTGTAGACTTACCGAGTGGCAATGATAGCCAGTATTTTATATATTTTTGTCTCAATAAAATGATAACAGTGATGTTATCGAGCAATAAAATCACCGATTTGGATAATAATATTGCGATTCAAACACGACATCCACAAATAAATGCTGCCGTACCTGATATTAAGCTAAATTACGCCTGATTTGTTTCCGTACTTATTTTAAGCACGTCTCATATCTAAATATGGAACGTCAACTGTGACTATATATTGCATAATAATATTCAATAGTGAAAAATGCTGGTCGTGTTACAATGACTCGTAATGCATCAACACGGCTTAGACAAATGATCTTTTTGTAGACGAAATGAACACAGGTTAAGGCAACATGACGAGGCCGATATACGTTTCCGTTATACCTCAACAGTTGAAAAACATTCAATAAATTAAATTTTTGTTCTATATCCAAGATTTATATTGTATAACTCTAATTTTATATTCTATACGATACTATTTATTCAATCCTGCTGAATATTTGTTCGTCATAAAATATATTTGTGTGCGATAATGTTCTATATGTATGTTCTGCATGTATATGTGAAAAATATATATTGTATAATTAAAAAAATTATTGTATAGATCTTCTGAAAAATATTTATTCGATAATTTGAATCATGCATGGGATAGAACACTTAGCATACTAAGCCCCGCCTATAAAGTAAGCAGGAATGTCTGATAAAGCGTTATCATCCTGATTAAACTAAACTATAGTGTAGTGGACTTGTAAATAGTGCATATGCTTAATCTTCCTTATATAGAGGATATTGAATGAGTGTAGTTTAATACTAAATTTATTGAACGAGTTGAATAAAAACATATTATGCGAGCCTCTGGCGAGCATAATATTGTTTTATTCAACGAGTTCAATAAATTTCGTATTGAATCTACACGAATGAAATATTTTATTTTTCACATATATAAAATAAGAACAGTAAACTGTTAAAATGAGTAATTTTTCAATGAAGCGCCCATATACATAGTGCAACGCTAACATTAGCGCGCATTAACGCTATGTTTCTATTTAGCGCAAATGACGTCACGTCAAAGTGTTATTACACTAGACAAGTGTAATATCGTTTTTATTAAATGGCTTTATTACACTCCTGCGCCGCCGTTTATGTGATAAAAATGTATATGTAAAATTTAAAGTCTTCAGGACATGCATCCGTATAAATAGAGGGTATTGTTTGTTTGTTTGGGTTTTACGTCACATCGACACAGTATATGTCATATCGCGACGTTCCAGCTTTATTGGTGGAGGAAAACCTCAGGTGCCCTTCCGTGCATTATTTCAGGCACCAACGGGCACCTGAGTAGAACCACCGACGTTCCGTAAGAGGGTATTGAATGAGTGTAGGTTTAATACTAAATTTATTGAACTCGTTGAATAAAACATTATCATGCGAGCCTCTATTGACGCGCTAACATTTGCGCACGTTTATACATAACGCAAAAGACGTCGCGTCAAAGTGTTATTACACTTGTTTGTGCACGTGCACTTGTTCAGCGGGCTGATAACTAGTTCTCGGCCCGGGTCGCAGACTCATAATAGGTCACGTGACACTCATAATCAGTTGAAATCATGGGCGATTGTGTTACTATATGGCTTTATTACACTCCCGCACCGCGGTTTATGTAATATTAATACACTTGTTATTATATACGATTAAAGTACAAACACAGTTTTTTTACTA